TAATTTTTATTAATTTTTATTAATTTTTATTAATTTTTATTAATTTTTATTAATTTTTATTAATTTTTATTAATTTTTATTAATTTTTATTAATTTTTATTAATTTTTATTAATTTTTATTAATTTTTATTAATTTTTATTAATTTTTATTAATTTTTATTAATTTTTATTAATTTTTATTAATTTTTATTAATTTTTATTAATTTTTATTAATTTTTATTAATTTTTATTAATTTTTATTAATTTTTATTGATTTTTATTATTTTTTATTATTTTTTATTATTTTTTATTTTTTATTATTTTTTATTATTTTTTATTATTTTTTATTATTTTTTATTATTTTTTATTATTTTTTATTATTTTTTATTATTTTTTATTATTTTTTATTATTTTTTATTATTTTTTATTATTTTTTATTTTTTATTATTTTTTATTATTTTTTATTAATTTTTATTAATTTTATTTATTATTTATATTTATTTAATTTTTTATTTTTTATTTTTTATTTTTTTATTTTTATTTACTTATTCCCCCCTCCCCCCTCTTTAAAATGTGAAAATCCAAAAACCTTTAAATACGTCATTATATGAGTAGCTACAATTCCAACTTTCATGTTCCCACCTTTAAAAAATCGATACTTTCATCCATCTTCCCCCTTCTCCCTATTTTTTCACTTTCCTACTTTCCCCCTTTCCCTATTTCCTCTATTTCCCCCTTTCACCAAACTTTCGCATTTATGTAGTAGTAGGGTTTTTATGATACTTGCCATGCCCCCTTCCTTTAAATGCGAAAATACGAAAATCTTGAAATACGTCATTATTTACATTTATGAGTAGCTGCAATTCCAATTTTCAAGTTCCTATATTTAGAAAGGCGAAAGTCTTCACCTTACACCGTCATCTATTATGAATTCATAGAACTAACCAATAAATACGCAATATTTAGGCATTCCATACAAATGAAACGCGATGCTAAGGTTTGGTATGTTTAAAGGGTTGCGACATACGATGTAGTCTTTTTTTTGCATTATATGAAATCATAAATAATGGATGAAATTTAAATATTTTATGTTGAACACAATGAAAATATTATTTAAAAAAAAACCGCTTATACATTTTCTATAAATTGGCAGGCTCGGGACAAGAAAGAGGTCCGACACGCCCAACATAGGGCGCGGCCATTTTGATTCCTGTGACACAGTTTACAGCTAAAGAATCAGATCGCTCACTCTGCGTCGGCACTTTTGATCTCAATGTACCAGTTTATAAACTGTGCAACTCGGATAATACAATATATGACAACCGCCTACAATAAAACAGCAGTCTTCTGCGTATCCTGAATTTGTATCCCTGGCGTGGATGTTATTTTGGAACTTTCAACTGGTCCGAGTGAGCTAACTGATTCTTTAGCAATAAACTGTGACTTCAAAAATAATATTCATTGACACTGACAGCAGCAAGCAAAATATCAGGTGCGTTTTAATCATCCGCTTCTGCTTCCGGAATTTTCGGTTTAATCGTTTTAACCTGTCAGATTAAAACAAGAAAACTGACAATTCCGAAGCAGAAGCGGATGATTAAAACGCAACTATTAAAAATATTGCGCCAAGATGTAGGCAACACGTAATAAGGGTTCAAAATGGCGGAGTTTTCTATCTCCTTTTAAAAGGCACTCAGAAAGCTGCGCAGTGCGACCATTCTCCGTATAGTAAAAGAAAATCAAAGTATGTGCTCTGCGATATTTAGCGGCATTACAACGCATGCGCATTACGGAGTTTTTGGAGAAAATACAACGAAAATTACACATATGCATTATTGGTTGCCTAAATCAATTATCAGGACTGGATCGCCTCTTCCGCCCGCCTGGTTACTCTAAAATGAATTTAAACGAAGTTGTAGTAGATATATTCTATGATTTGACTAAGGTGTTTTATTGTGTGAATCATACATTATTGATGCAAACATTTCTAGTTCACGGAATTTAGGACGAAGCGCTAATAAAATCTTATCTTGCAGAAAGCAAGCATAAGTTATTATGTACTCTCAAGTTTTAGATATAAGTTGGCGAGTCCCTCAGGGTTCTGTGTTAAGTCCCATTACTTTTTTATATAAATGAGTTAACTCAACTTAACATTACTGATGACACTAAGATTTTATGGCACAGAAATGACATTGAATGTACTTATACAATAAAATTTCTGGGCAGTAATTCAAATAATAATTATTAGAAATATAAGAACCATAAAACCATATAAAATTGCTAAACAAAAAACTTTCACCTGGATGTTTTACAGTCAGAACTGTGGAAATAGTTTTTAAACCAGCTAAAAGTGTATATTACGTCTCATTTAAGATATATAGAATCGCATGTTGGGGAGAGGCTATGGCCATGGCTAGTCAATACGGGTTCTTGTCTGCTAAAAAGAGCAATACAATTTGTATGTATAGTGAACAATCTCGACACATTTTGTCAACCTTCTCGAGTAAAAGAACAATGCTACCAATTACTGTCGACGACATTGAATTGATTAAAAAATATAACATGGACATCAATGCCATATTTGTTGATGATGATAATTTTCAAGGAATAAAAAGACTGCTTCCGACATTATCATTCATTTCGGAAAATGTGGTGGGCTTCATACCTGATTTTGTTGCAAAAACATGTTAAATGTTTAAATTGCATGGAGCTATTAGTTTGTTCTGATGGTACTAACAGAGACAACCTTGCGCTCCTCAATATAAAAAACCCATGGATGACACACCTTGTCCCTTACTATTAATATGATGCCTCGGAACCAAATTTAATTAAAATTTTTAACAAACACTTTAGAATTTTTCTATTTGAAAATAATTATTCGATTCTGTAAAAGAAGAGAACCATAGAATGTAAATTAGAAAGTTATTTACAAAAATTTATTGTAGAAATAGATTTTTTAATGTAGTCAAAGTGTAAACTGAAATTGATAAGTGAACATCTATGAGAAAAAACAATTCTAAGCTTATTCTTTTCCATAACCAATAATGAACTTTAAAGTCGTGTATGTAATAGGTACAAGACGGGTGCAAAATAAATGAAGCAACTACACTGAGAAATAACTATTGTATTTGTTTGTCCATGTACGTATTTTATCTAAAATCAAATAAAAATAATTAAATAGTTATTTTTTAGTGCCATTGCGCCATTTATTCTGCACCTGTCTTATATGCGTCATAAAACAATAACAATTAGCAAGTGTGTTCTAGGTGCATATTAAAAAGAACAGGTTTAGCTTTATAAATAAAAACCTATTTGATTTTTGTATGGATCTACGCATTTTATGTGAAACCAACTGTACATATTTTTCCTTTTACCGTGTATTAATCCATCCAATGTTTGACAGAATCAGGCATTAATTGGCCTCATTAATGGTCTACTTTCTATTATTAACTGTTTATCTACGACTAACTACACCTGCATTGGAGAGACCTATCCTTTATTGATATTTTTTTTTTGTAAGGCTATAAGCAAAGTGACATTTTGAAATCAAATATTAAAATTTGAAGTTGGACTTTTCATTTTATTAGAAATTTGGTCGCTAAAAAATCTTGTAAGGTGATTTATAAACTAGGCGTTAAATATTGAATAAATTTCTTTATATACCTACATATGTATTTTACTAATTAAAACTATCTGTGAGACAATACTGAATGTAACATATGTTTGTGAAAATCAAAACTGCGAATTATTAAGGCAAAACATAATTTCAGCATTGAATATATTGTGTTGAGAATGGAGTGTTATTACACTGCGACCTAAAAGATATATTGTGCCTTTTATCGCTAATACAGCAAGGAAATGTCTCAAGGCCTATAACGACCCTTCCAATCTTAGTTAGGAATATTGAACTTAAATCCAGCCCTGTTTAATGACGTAGAATCGTCTGACAACGACTCAATGCGCATGCTCAGTAGTGCCGCAACGAGGAGCACGTTTTGAACTTTTGTCTGCCCAAGTAAGTTTTACATCGGTAGTAGAGTAGGCCTTGTCAAAGATTTAAAATGGAATTTTTCAAATAAAATCTCGATAAATTAGTTTTAAAATATTTTGTACCGCGCCGCACCTACAGGTAGAGCGTTTTTTTATATATTCTGCTGTCTACGAAATCCATATTGCTTTCGAGAAATCTCCGCTTGTAGTGTATAGTTCTGCTTACCAATCAGCGCTTTAACCTCCTCTTCATGGAAGGGAAGACAAACTGATTGAAATTAAGAATTTGTACAAATCGATGATCAATCCAATATCTGTTTTCCTATTGTAGTTTTTTATTGACTACATTGATACGATTTAGAGTACTATTCCAAAAATAGTTTTAAATCTGGCTATTATCTTCATTAATCCTGTTACCTCTGCTTTTGCAATAGCCTGATATGAACTGTCGTTTGAGATTAATTTAAGTGTATCGTGAATATCTTTTCAAGACTTCAATAAACTCTGACAGGCATGATTATGTTGTGTACGACATACTATTTAGTGAATTATCGTTCTTCTTCAGTTTCTCTCAACGCATCATATATTCGAAAAAAACCTTGTAGCTTGTGAAAATGTTAAATAATTTGTAGATTCATTACAACAATTTACCAAGAACCGAGTAGAGAGATAAGAAATTCGACAAAGTTGATACTCCGTTGATACTCCTCCATCGAAAATTTTTCACCGTAGGCTATAGCCTAGCTAGCCTATTTAGAAATCCGCCATAAAATAAACACATACATATTACCCGACTTTGCCATTAGTTTTAGCTGCAATAACTAAAAGTGCTAAAATTCCTTTTTCTTATTTACTTCCAGCGTATAGCAAAGCCGGATATTCATATAATTTTTCGCTCATCTGTGGTTGATCTTGCCTTCCGTTAACCATTTATATCCACGTTCTTCTAGTCTTCGCTATGCAACTTGTGCTATCACTCTTTAAATATTAGTGCAATTTAAATTAGATTTGTTAATGGAAACAATTTCTTTAGATGGAACATGAAGACGATTTAGATATCGCAACAACTTTAAGAAGTGAAATAGCAGTTTTACAATTTACGAGAGATCGTCTACAAAATGAGTTGGAAGAAATGAAAAATGCAATGGCTCTACGAGACCAACGATGCTTGGAATTGAAGGTAGAGGCTGACCAATTACGTGAACAAGCAGCCAGACAAAACTCTACCATAAGCTCTCTAAGGAAACGCATTTGTGATTTAGAAGAAAGAGAAAGAAATCTAATTATATCTCAAACTCGACACGAGTCTACTATTGAGGCTGCTCAAAAAGATTTAAGGTAAATTTAGTTTATTTTTTTGTAACATTTAAATGTTTTGATTACAAGGTAGACGCCTTACGCACCTGTAACTCGTATTAGAGCACCTGCAACTCGTCTTAGAGCACCTGAAATTCGTTTTAGAGCACCTGAAACTCGCTGTAGAGAACCATCCTAAACCAGTTTATCAATAAAACATAAAAAATCTTTGGAGGTTTAATAATTTTGTCAAATTCTAGTCATATGAAGGTTATTTATTAAAGAAGAAATAACAATAAATAACATATTTTGCATCTTTTAAAATTTTATTCGATATCGCCATCTTTTAAGATATGACAATTTAAATTTCTTTAAAGTTCGTTCAATTACAATTTTTGCTTGTTCAGCTGGTTCAGTTTTATTTTCTATTAAATTTTTAATAAATATCATTTTTTAGATACAATGAAGAAAAAAATCTAGAGCTTGAATCAAAAATAAGAAGACTCGAGTTTGAGGTAAATTCAAATGAACAAAAAAAGGAAACACTTAAAATGCAATTTCAAGATTTCGTTAGAAGATTATCAATAGCTCTAGGCGCCGATTTTGCCGATTATGCTCATGTTTCTCTCGAGCTTTTAATACAAAAAGCGTCTGAATTAATTCAAGTAAGATACAAATATATGATGGGATCCACAAAAAATGTTTCTATATGATGAAAAAATAACGCATGTCGGAGTATACAATTCTTCTTATTTTATAAATTACCGGTTTGGATTTAATGGTCAGTTTGCAAATTCAATGGCTTGTATATAAAAAACACCAAAAATCCAGGAACATTCACCGCAGCCCATCTCTTTATAGGCCCGGCTGCCTGGTCATTTTTTATGGCATTTTTATTAAAAACTGTTCACACATACGATTTGCTATCGGCATATTATTCCAGTACTGAATTCAAATAAAAGTTTTTTCAATAAGAAAGAAATAAACAAATCCAAGAACCATTTCAGAATATTCGCTACATTTTCTTATATTTTTTTTTTTTGTTAGTACTCCTCTATCTTTCATGCTTCTATAATATCTATCTATCTATCTAAAATATCATCTAAGGGCCATGGGGCAATCCACCCTTCACACGTTACAGATACATAATAGGTAAAAGAAGTAGAATAGTAGGCATATAAAGATCAACAAAAACGTAAACAAAAATATCATCTTTAACAACTTTTAAGCCTTGAATATGTTTGTTTACGTTATGCAGATACTTCCGTACTTGGCAATGACCAGTTAGAATGCCTGTGATCAGGAGCAAGTTCTGTCTAGTCATAGTCAAGTATTTGTTTGCTAACACTATAGCAGGATAATTTAAAAGCTTCCTAGCAACTCTGCAGTTTCTTGTTTCATTTCATATATGCTTGAATTTTACAAGGGAATGTTCTTTAATTAGGTTTGTCACTAACCGATGTTCAGTCTAATGAAAGGGTCAGGTCCAAAAAGTATTTGGTTGGCTGCCTTCTTGATTGGTGAAAAAGCAAGACAGATACTTTTCAATGTAGCGTGATCTTTGGTCTATATTAAGGTGACCACATTGTTGATAGATACTCCAGCCAAAGCTTCGTAACATTCTAGTACTAATCGAGTAAATTCGTTCTATGTCCAGGGTGAGTAGTGCTTGTCTGCTACCTGCATTGGTTAGCATTTTTCTTTCAGTGATAGTGTTTCTGGTAACTTCTTTTACTGTTATGAGAATCTTCGTGAGCTCGGTTTGAACTACATTGGCCTCGACATTGGCACTATTAGTGCTCACAGCCCACCTTATGTTAAGGTTGAAGGATTTGAAAAATATTCCTCATTCTAAGCCTTGTTTGTATAGATATGAATCGTACCTTCCAGTTCCAGTTCTTCTATTTGTACCGTTATAATTTTGTATGGTTCTCAAAACTACTCTCTTTAAGTAGTGTAGGGTTCCTACCTACTAAAACCCATCCTCCTAGATTCGTACCATAGAATGACGGCACTATCCTTGGGAGGATTTATCATCGTGCGTCCTATGCAGGCTTACATACTAATGTCTTTCTTCTAGTCTATTTTCTGCCTAGTATTGCCTTTTTTCTTTCTCCTTTTCCTGCATAATCTTTATTATTATTTTAGTTCTAGCGTCCCAAACGTCATGTTTTTAGAATATTTTCATTATAATGTTATCAGTAGTCAATGGCGAACTGCTTCTAAATTTACTCTTAGATTTTCCCATCTTGCGCACTCTGACAAAGTATGGTTAGGTGTGTATTCTTCCATGTCGTATATACAGGCTGTCGTCCGTCTTTCCGATTCTGTGGCATAGCTTTTAAAAGATCCATTTCCTTTCAGAAATTGACTAAATAAGTAATCTGTTCTTCTGAACAACACCTTTCGATGGTTGGTATTAGCCTTCGTATCCAAGCTGCCTTATTTGCATTTGTCTCCCATCTATTTTGCCAGGATTCTAGTATTTATTCCCTTCCTCTACTTGATTATTTTCTAATTTTTGATGCAATCTGCATCTTTCATCTACTAGTAAATCAAGTGGGATGCAACCGGTTATGACTTGTAAAGCGTCTGCTGATACCGTCCTGTATGCAAAAGCTACTGTTAGCAGCATTTTTCGTTGCGTGCTGATGATCATGCCGCTACATCTTTTTTATTTGGTTTCTTATTCCATGTCGGTGCGGCGTAGAGTACGGTCGACTGCATAACGCCGTTAAGTAGAGGCCTCTTTCTGGTGCCAGGACCTCCGATATTTGGCACAATTTTTGTGAATGCTGTTATTTATTTCTTATCCTTTTCCAGTGTTCTCTTAATATCTTCATTAAACATAAGTCTATCATTGATCCAGACTCCGAGGTATTTGACAGCTTGTACGGGAGGTATAATTTCATTACCGACCTGAAATAGGACTCTCTTTTCCTCTGACTTCTTATAATAATACTTTCTGTTTTCTCTGGAGACAAGCTCAGTTTGTGGCTTTTCATCCACTCTTGGATCTGGAAAACGGCTACATTGGCATTCATCTTTCGTTTTGTTTATAATACAAGGTCATCCGCAAATGCCACGGTGTGGCAATCCTTGGGCACCGTTAACCTTAATACCACATTATAGAGAACGTTCCACAGGGTTGACCCACGGACCGAGCCTTCTGGGACTCCTTGAGTCATTTTGAAAATAGTTTTCTCTATTTCAAGGGATCTATTAAATAGGTAGCTTCCTATTAGATTTCATTATGTATTGGCTGATACTGATTACGTTAAGGATGTCCATGATTTTGCTCCAGACTGCGGTATTGAAAGCATTTCTGACATCGATTAGAATAAGTGTCCCCCATTTTAGAATAAGTGTCCCCCATTTTTTACTTGCGTCTTTTGTTTTATCTAGAACTTGTTGAATCGAGTTTACTGTTGATTTACCTCTTCTAAAACCGAATTGATGATCCGAGATTCCTCTCTTTTCCTCAAGTTCGTTTTCCAGTCGCTTTTTAATTAGGAATTTACCGTCTGTCTTGGGTATTAAGGTAATTGTTGCTTTCTTCCATATCTCCGGAAATTCCCAGGCAGCAGATTGACGTCATTATGACATCTTATTTTCGTCATACAGGACGTCATTTATCCTCTGAAAACTAACGTGATAATGACGGTAAAATGACGTGAATATATCACAGCCCAAATGACGTCATATTTAGACGTCTTTTTCACGTCTAAATATGACGTTTTTATATCGTTGTTTTAATGTCACCTTTGTCGTTATTTGAGACGTCACCATGACGTTATATTTGATATTGTTACTCCTTTGTAACTTTTCTATAGGAACTGTGTGGGTCACTTAATAAAACAAAATTAGAAAATTAAATAATTATAATTAAGAAGAAAAAACAGTTTAAATACATGAAATGTTATTGGCAATACACATTAATTTACATAAATCCAACTGCTCCAAATGTGGCCAACGTGTTCGTTATTATTTTGTCTTTGGCACAATTATGAAAACTATGAGTGCCTCCATTTTACACGAACCTGGGAACATTTTAGGAAACAGCCAATGAATGTAATAGATATAAAATCATTAAAGAATAAGGAATATATAGATATAAAAATACTAAAAGTTACATACCTTATGTTGGGTTGATATTGATATAACTTTTTTCACTGAGCTTCTCTTAACTTTTGACGACAATCCCCAATGCATACGGGCCACGATCCACGATGCACACACCATATTACACATGGCCGATGCAACAATCTGCGATACCGTTCTCGTGCTTGCTCGAACGGCTCGGACACACACGAGCCATACTCCACAGACCGATAACCACAGACAGACGCAGTCCTGTGTCACGTGGTGTCATACAATCTTTATGCATTTTAAGCGCCAGATTTAAACGTTAATAGACCTAAGAGTTTTAAAAAATAATTGTTTAGGCCATATCATTTTACATAAATAAAATGTATTGAAATCACGTTTAATATAAACCTTAATTTAATAATAGAGAGTTGAAGTAATGCTATGAACGTAAACATGTACGTGAAAACTGATATCTGCGCATGCGTATTCAAATATCCTTCACGTTCACGTCTTCGTAAATACGTGTAAGCTTACGGGCTCTGGCGTGTGTACGTAACGCAAACAAAATAACCTCTTTTTAATTCGAAAAGAAGAAATCCTGATATTAGTTGTCATTATCTGTCATGGTACGTAAATGTCACGATGCGTTTAACAACTTCAACTCATATTTTAAACTTCAACGTAAACATTATTTTTCTGCGTTGACGTTTACGTTTACGTTAACGTACTGGAAACACTTCAACTCTCTAATGACAATAAATTGACGTTACACTGACGTCGAATTTGTGACGTCAAGAATACGTTAAAGAAGTTACGTCATAATCACTTCATTTTTTGGTAACATGACGTCGATGACCAAGAATTACCAAAAAATGTCGTCAAAATGTCGCCAGTCTGCTGCATGGGTTGTTGGTTGACTAGCAGTTTGTTAAAAACATTTAGCATTGCTTGTGGAATGTTGTCGATGGCCATCTTTGTAGATTCAACAAGTATTCCATCCGGTCCCGGTGATTTTCCCGTTACTAATTTCTCAACTGCTTTCATGAGCTTTTGTGAGGTAAAAGGTGGTGAGCTGCATGGCCTATGAATTGAAAAGTAGTCTCTTTTTCTGGGAAACAGTTTTAGTGCTTTCTCTACTTTGTTTGTACTATCTAGTTCGTAGGGTGTATTTAGGCGTTTCAGTTTACCCGTTACTATTTTGTAACTTTGTCCCCATGTATCATCCTCTAACTTTCTGCAGAGTTCTTTCCTTTCTCCTCTCTTCGCTTTTGTGATTTCTATTTTAAGTTTCTTTCTCTTATTTCTATAGTCTATATCAACAGTACCTGCAAGCTAATGCCTTCCGTTGGCCCTTAATCGCGTCAATTTGCTCCTTGTTGCATTACATTCTTCTCTCTTATTATTGATCTGGTCATTCCACTAATACGGCCTGCGCTTCTTTTATAAGCATTATTTACCTAAGGTTGCCGCTAGTTGTAATACATTTTTAAAGGTGTTTTGATTTATTATTCTCCTTTATTTCCAGTGAGTAACTAATTTTTTGCTTTTACCATAGGTTTTAAAAAATATGTATTTGTAAAGGTTGAGATTTTCTTTCTGCAGTACCGTTGCTGATGCGCTTTGCCATTTTCTGTGAGGGAAGTGTGATGTGCTGTCCGCGTACTAATGTGGGAGTTTTCCCGTCATTGTTGTTAACCAGGTTTAGCGTTTGTATCCACAGTTTCAGGTATTCTCATCTCTTGTCAGTTTTTTCAGAACCCCACATCCTAGATTTCGCATTTTGGTCTCCAGTTATGACAGCCTTTTCTTTTCTCTTTCATAATATCTTCCATGATGTAGCCTTGGAAGTTTTCTATTGTACTGTTTGGAGATAAATAACAGTTGTACAGGACCCAGTCAGAAAATAATAATTTTAGGTATTCCTCTCCCTTAGTATGCGAGATAATTCCACATTTTGGGTTTTTTTCATAGAATTGGGGCATCCCTTCGAAGATCAGCTATACATCTTTTATTTTTATCTACGTTTTCTATTGGGTTCTTGTACCAGGAGGAGTAAGTCAGCATTTTCTTTATAGGCTGTAGCTATGGCAAGGTGATGAGCTTGTGCCCCTCTGTCGACATTTATTCGAGCAACCTTCTTGATGTAAATATCAAGCGGAGTGAGACTAAGAATGACTTTCATGGCTCTGGTTGGTGTGGTTTTCATTGCTTCTGTTATGCTGTTCTTTGATCCTGTTTTAGTTTTCGGATAGCTGTCAATTGTTAGGTTTTCCATACCGAAACAACTGCACCGTATGATAGCATAGGTCTTATAATGGCCACGTAAGTCCATGTGATGACTCTGCAGGAGAGACCCCAGGTATGCCCCATGGTTCGGTGGCATTGTTCTCACAAGCAATGTATGCTTTTTTGACTCTTTTACCTATTGTGTTTACTTAGAAATATACCTATTAAAAAAATCATTGAATTTTTCTTTGTTTTTAGCTGTTACTCATATAAAATTATAATTTTAGGAAACAGCAAGACTAAAGAATCAAGTTCTTAGCATGAGAGAAACTATTAATTCTATGGAATTGGATATTAAAACATCTAGGGAAAATTTTGAACGTTGTTTGGCTGAGAAGGAGAGTTTTCAACGTCAATGCTCTGCTCAAAATTTTGAAATCGATAAATTAAGGCAAGAAAAAGAAAGCGCTGAAATAGAACATCGGGTGATGGAACGAGAAATGAATGAACTAAGAAATAGATTTGCATTATCCAGTAGAAATTTAGATAATGCTTCTGAAAATATCGTTCAACATGAAAATTTGATATGTAAAATGCGAGGTAGATAATTTAGACTATATTTTTTTATTTTTTGGTTTATTTCATTTAAAAGATTTCTAATTATCATTATTTGTATTACGTAATCTTCCATTATCTAGTCATAATATTCTCATTTTCCAAGACTCATATAATCGCAGTATCTTCCTAAACTTGTCAATTTTTCTGATTTTTAATCTTACATTTCAACTTATTTGTTTGAATTTATGATCAATCCTTTGGATTTGTTTTGTTTTGTGGATTCAGTAATTTTATGACAATACTTTCTCAACCTCTTGTTTGTTGGTTGCTTCATAAAATGATGTTATAATAATATTTCGGATAATTAGACTCATTAGAGAATAAGATTTTCTATTTCAGATGAAATCAAAGCTAAAGATGAAAGAATGCAACGTTTGTCTGCCGATCACAAACATTCTTTAGAAACTTTAGCAATTCTTCTAAGTAATCCTTCGCGCTACGTAGATTCATTGGAGGCATCAATAAAGGAAAGAATTCATGAAATTCTCAATGAAAACAACGAAAAAACATCTGTAAAGTATATATAACTATTTGGTTACCTATGAAATAAATTAAAAAATATTACTTATCTAGAAAAAATAATTTTGACAATTTGTAAATTTAAATTTTAGTTTATTTAAGTTTAATACAGCTACAATGTCCTTCTTTAGTTCTCATAATTTTAGGAACTGGAAAGGCTCAGAGATAAACTTAATTCAGAAAGCCAACAATTATCCAGACAAGCTTTATTATATGAACAAGCAACAGCAAAAATCAGATGCTTAGAAGACGAAAAAAATCGATTCGAAGTATTATTGCGCAAAGCAGATGCAGATATTAATGCCTATGATCTTTCTCGAGAAGCATTATCGAGGGATAAATCTATAGTAGGTATATTACAATATTTTATTTATTTTTCAATGCTATAATGAATTTTACTATGTCTACATTGTATGTAAAAGTAAGATACAGCTCATGTACTTGATCAGGGGTAAATATGTCTATCCCAGTTTCTTCTAGAATTAGGTCATATCCATCCTCAACGCCACTAAATAACAAATTCTTTGAAAATGAATGATTACAAAAATTTTATGACTTATAACATCAAAAATCAGTGACGTAGAATTTTTAAAATAAAATGTTGAGCATTATTTGTTTCAAAATAAAATCTTTGGTTTTCTTCCTAAAATTTTTTAAAATAACAATTTATTTCAATTCTTGTGTTAAATTTTCTAGTCATTTTAATTAACAAATATAAGATACGCATGTAATCTCTACAGGTAGAAAATATTTACAAATCAATATCAATTAAAGTTGCCCTCAACTTTCTTAAAAAAGATTAAAATTTCTAATCGGCAGAAAATATTATGCAGATTTTAAATTATTTTAGTTAAGATTTACAATTCTGTTTGTATAGTCTTGTGATTGTGACACGCAGAATTGTTAGTTCTGTAATAATAGGCGATAAAAAGCAATATTGATCAAGTGAATTTATGCAATAAAAATGGCACAAACGTCTAATTATACTCCTGTGAAATTAAAGTGCAATTTAACCGTGCATAAGAAAACTTTAGTGTTAAATTTACATGATGCTCTTGTGCATGAACATTTTAATAGCACTGTTCGGAGTATAGTTTCTAAGTGTTCAAATATGACCGGAGTTGGAGAAGCAACCATTTATAGACTTTTGAGGCAACGAGAGGATGGAAATATTACAGTAGCACATAAAACGTCAACTGTGAGAAAACCCATTGAAATAGACGGTATTATGAAACAACTGATCCGAAGAAAAGTGCATTCGTTTTATTAAAAAAAAAAGATACCTACTTTGGATAAATTAATGGAGACGAAACTGAAAAACTTTCCATACATTAAACTTCGTTTGGGAGAAGAACGATGGAAAATCTGCGCTCATAGAGAAAGATGAAATTATTTGTTGGAGGAGGCAATATTTAAGGGAAATTGGAAAATTAAGAATTCTGTAATAGTTATGGACAATGCCAGTTACTATTCAAGATTAAAGGAACACTAAATGGAAAAAGCAAGAACTCTCCGATTGGCTAATAACCAACGAAATAGTGGTAGAAGAGGGATTACTCAAAAAAGAGCTATTGCAGTTATGTAAACAACATTTACCAAAATTTAAGAAGTATAGTGTAGATGAAATAGCAAAAGAACATGGAGTTAAAGTGTTGCAGTTACCACCTTATCACTGTGAACTTAGCCCCATTTAACTAATTTGGACCCAAATGAAGGGATATGTCGCGAGAAACAATACAACATTTAAACTTTAAGATGTTTGTCAACTATTATGCAACTTCATATCAAAAATTTTACCGGACAATTCGCAAAATGCTATAAGACATGTCATAGCAGAGGAAGAGAAATTCTGGAAACTTGATGTGTTAATAGAGGAAACAATTGAACCAATTATTATTTCTGTGGGAAGTGAGGAAACTGATGATGATGACTCCTTATTGGTAGAAAACGACTTATGTATTTAGGTATGTAACTTTATATGTATATTAATCATAATAAGTTATATGACGCTAGTACCCAAAATACAAACAAACAAATTTTTATGGAATCGTAGAAAAGTATATCAGTATCAGTAAATTTGGTTGTGTGTTTGTTTATTATTAAATTTTAAGGAAATGCCCTAACCTAATATCTAGTATAGGTACTATTTTTATAAAAATAAATGTGGGTACTTAATATTGACAGTTTACTATTTTTATATTAAATTAATTTCGTGTTCCACGTCACTGAGATATAGAATTATTGGTTAATCCCTTAGGGTTTATTCATTTACATTTTATGATGTATTGTATTCGAGATTTTTCGGGGTGGTCTTACAAAAATCTAGTGAAAATTAACATAAGAAAGTATCAATATTTACTTTTTTCTGCTTTGTACAATCCTGTATAGAGACCTTTGCCATAAAAACTGTGCTATCATGCAGTTTTAAATAAACTATAAACAGTATCCACCCTGTGGTGTCCTCCTTTCGCCACAAATGGGAAAACCTTTTATCATTTTATTGCGACTATGTATATTAAAATTTCCCAAATTGTTCCGTTGGGTTTTGCCTAACATAGTCTCATTAATATGGGCTGACCATTTATAAATAATACAGTATTGGCCATCGAACATCTTCCAATACCCCTTGGCACAGGTGCATCTGAAAATTACAGAGAGTCAGCATTAGGACAAGTAGGAAATAAACAATACCAGTGATGCCAGCTTATACGGCCTGGGAAACGGCCGACAGAGGGCCAACCAGAGATAACAGGAGATATAACTACTAACAAATATCGTGCGGTCCTGAATAAGACATATTCTAAGGGACACAGGAGGGTATATTATCCGCTGTTGTCATATGCCTATTTCATTATTCTCGTTTTGTTCACAAAATTATTTACATATATTAAAAAAGCTAAAATAATTTAACCTATTTTTATTGAATTTGAACCCAAAAAAATTTTAATAATTACTTGTATCCAATTTAACTAAATTAGATGCAATTTCACCAAATAAGATGTAATAATTTTCAATAAATTCCAAAACCGAGTCATGTTAGGTTGGAAGTGGCAACAGGACTTACACCGGCATGGATATTTACGTTGTTTATTATGAGCGCACAGCGTCTTACACATTTATTCATTGACAAAAAAGTTGTCTGCGTAAAATTCTTCTCTTTATCCCCTCACTTACTTCTCACCTTTCGTCTTTTCACCGCGGACCAACAAATAGAGTGTAATGATTGTCGATTTAATCGTGGCATCGTGAATATTCTATCAATTAATGGTTATATCTCTGTTATCTCTGGGGCCAACCGTTAAGAGAAAACTAGAGGTGGAATTGGAATTTGAATGCTACAGCTGTGGAACTAATTATTAATATATATTAATATTTTCTGCGTCAGTTTTTGAATGTAATTCGAACCCCCTTTTTAAAAAAAAGTTGACATGTGTATCGGACATAAATATTTTTAAATAATTTCAATTCACTAGTACAAAATAAATTGTTTTTATTAAGTTTTATTTTTTTGTTATCATCTTTAGTTCATGAGATATAGCCATTGTAACTTTTTAAATTGTCATCCTGTTATTTCTTAATACACTCATTAAATTATTTTCAGATGATGAATTTCTTGGATCGTTTAGCAAAGGCTTTAAACTTAGAAGAAATATCAAATGATGTGGGTGTGGATTTACAAACAGAAACTTTGCTTTTAAGGGCAGAACAATTGGCAAGATTGGAAAATGAAAAACTAGCAGACAAGGTAACATTTAATTACTTAATTAAAATAGTTAACCAATCGTGTTTTTTACTATGTACAATGTTAAATTTGAGCATATTCAGTATTTTGAATGGAGTAGTTTCCAATCTATAATTCGTTCGTCAAACGTCATTAGAGGTGAAAATGAATTATTGGGTAGTTGATGAACATCTGTAACGGTCGTGGCTTAGTGCTTAGTTCATAGTATTGTTGATCGAATCTTCAAATCGATTGAAACATTCAAATAAAAATAATTACTTGAGTAATTATTATCGCTTGAATAATTATTGCTTGAGTAAATATTGCTTCAGTAATTATTGCTTGATTGATTATTGCTTTTGTAATTATTCTTTGAGTAATTATTGCCTGATAAATTTTGTTTGGGTAATTTTATTGCTTGAGTTATTTTTGCTTTAGTAATTATTGCTTAATGACAGGTATTGTAATAGCTGGAAGATTCATTCTAAGCACGATGTCATCTAATGTCATCTAATGTCATCTATTGGTATAAGAACCACTGCTGTTTAAATACAAGGAGTTGTTTTAACCATCCCACTACCAACTGTGGTAAAAGGTGCTAGCGATTCCCTTTTAATGGGACACCACTGATACCAATTGTAAAACAAGGCAGTCCTCTCACCAGCAACCCCCTTAGTGGCATAGTTGAGCGGTTTTGGCAATTTATTAAAGACTCTGTTAGTCTTTAGGTACGGCAGAACCTCGCAAATGCCTGGAGTATTTTTTATTCAAACTGTCGGTTCTAGAACAGGAGTGAAATATTCCTTGGATGTCCGTTGATGGTATACTTTTGGACTATTCTTCCTGTAATTCCATTATTAAGACCCTTCTCTGGCTGCTGAATTCGGTAAGTGGGACAAGCGATCGAATAGAAAACTGGGGACAGCAACTACAAAAATTTGAATTTTTGTACCTAAACAAATGTTTTCTACTCCCACATGGATATGGATATGGAAAAATTTTAAAGATTTTGTTATTATTTACGAGTATTGTAGATGATGACCCTTTAAGGGCCTATTTTGAACCATGAACATTCTTCTATATCTACTTATATATACTTAAATAGAAAATAACTTAAATATTTTAGATATTAAAAGTTTTGCTAATTGCTTCATGGAATATTAAAGCTTCAGTTTTCATGGATTTACCTACTTATTTTTAGACATTAAACAATGTTCGGTTTGGCCATAAAATTAATTAATCACTTTGATAAAGAGCTTACTATAAAATATTCACTATTAATCATATTTAATGATTTTTCTTAAAACTTTATTAATATATTTCTTTTATATAGCTACTCTGTTGTGGATATGGAACATTACCAAGACTTTGTCGGATTAGGCGAGAAAGAACTTTTCATGATTTACCTCTATGTAATGTAAGAATATATTACTTAGTACTTACCTAGCTAAAGATAAGTCACTCTTTGCATGTAGCATTTCTAAATTAAAAATAGCATACTTAGCAACACCAATTCTGCACTACATGCCTCGTTAATCCAAAATGTCAAAAAAAAAACATAATTAATTGACCTGAAACCTGCTGCAGACAAAAGTAAAAAAAATCGGAAACCGTTCACGCCAATGGGTACTGAAAACTGACGTCAGGATCATCAACTTATATAGCTTGAACCTTCTCGAACTGTCCAGATTTTTCTTGACAAGGAATAACATTTCCATACATTTCTGGACTATTCTATCTTCTTTTACTCGTACTTTTACTTATGACGGTTCAGTTGTAGTTCAAAAGAGCTCTTCAGAATAGCTACAAACAAAGTAAGAATAACAATGATGATATTCAATCCTATATATGAAATGAAAATGAAAGAAGAAGGAGATGTAGAAGACGAAGATCTAGAGAATCGAACTACTTTATAATATGTTAACGCATAGTTGCAGAGGTGTCTTTTAGAAATTGATAAATTTCGGAAAGGCCGTGAATACCTAGATATTCCTTTCTTGGTAGTAGGATATTTTTAAGTAGTAGATGCTACTGAAGGTAGGCCCATTTATGACCGTATCATCTTAAAAAAATGCAGTTGTATTGCTAATGATTCGAGAATCTAATGTGTATAAGATAAGTCAAAGGAAAAAATAATATATTTATACTTATCTATGGATTACCGATCTTCTAAATTTTATTCTAGAAGTTTGGAAAGTAAAAGTTGTATTGGAGAACATCTAAGAATTCACGAGAGCAATACCTTTTGTTTCTAAATTTTCTTTTACTGTATTAGAAGCATAATAGATCTGTTCAACGGTCACATCTTTTAAATTAAATTAAAATAAATTTTCATGTGCCAAAATTAATTCAGAGCCATATTTGTTAGGTTTTTGGACTGTCAACTCTGCAAATGTACAAACTACAAATTTGGTTTCTTCGGCATACCAAGAGGTAATATGTGGATATTATTTCTTAAAAATAAACTTACCTAAATTATTTGTTTAACTACTTAGATAATTGGTTTATCAACTACCCAAAATAATTTTTAATTTCTAGCTATACTCATTCTTAAATTATCGCTGCCTGCGAAAGGGTTCCTTCCGTCTTATTGGGTGGAGTTGTAAAGTTGTGGACTGTATATAAATGAAGAATCTTGTAGAAAAAATCTTGCCGACAGGTTGATAGATTGAGTGTTGTATAATGCAGAAATTGAAATTATTGCTTTTGATAACTGGTTTATTTTAACTTTACAAAATTTGTATTCAATAACCAGAAAGGAATTAAGTAATACTTTCATATATAACTAAATTCAAAACATGCTGTTTTAAAAAATCTTTTTATATGATTTGTTTTAATGTTACCATTGCGAACGTTTCGCGCGGAGGTTGATGTCATTCTTGCTTGTTTGAAGGTTGGAATAGTTCTCTGTTAAAAAAAGTCAGTCAAACAATATTGTAGGCAGTTTGAGTGTAATGCAGGTGTATGTACAGCTTAGGCCTTGCCTGGAACGCAAACGCTACATTTGCTACATTGCTCTGTGTATATTAGAAGTGCGTAAAATTAAACTAGTGTTATAAAAAATCCGTTGTATAAATACTGTTGTTCATGCATAAACGTTTTATACATGTTCTGTATCTGTAAAGTGTGTAGGGTGGGTTACCCCTACGGCACTTAGGCCTCATTAGGCCCATTGTGCATCCTCCTAAGATGATAGGCACCTCCTAGCTCGTCAGCCAGCCTACAGATTTAATGTAGTTGACAACGTCGCCAAGAGGTGCTTCTCTTATATCGGCCGGTGTTAGCCGATACTCGCCGAACACAAATCTTCTAATAAATGAGAGCGTCGGGCAATCGTAAAGGATATGCTCGATGGTCTCATCTTCTTGTTCGGACCCTCTGCAGAGTGCGGATTCTGACAACCCCATGATATGGAGATGCTTCCGTACTTGGCAATGACCAGTCAGAATGCCTGTGACCAGACGCAGATTCTGTCTAGTCATAGTCAAGTATTTGTTTGCTGCAGTGTTGTCAGGATAACTTAAGAGCTCCCTGGCAACTCTGCAGTTTCTTGTTTCATCCTTGAATTTCACAAGGGAATGTTCTTTAATTTGGTCTGTCACTACCGATTTTGTCAGGCCAATAGAAGGGCCAGGTCCAAAAAGTATTTGGTTGGCTGCTTTCTTGGCTAGTGAATCGGCAAGACGGTTACCTTTCGATGTGGCGTGACCTTTGATCCATCTTAAGGTGACCACATTGTTGTTGGATACTGCGGCCAAAGCTTCATGACATTCTAGTACTAACCCTGAATAAATTCGTGGTCTGTTCAGGGTGAGTAGTGCTTGTCTGCTATCTGTATAGATGAGCATGTTCCTTCCAGTGATATTATTTCTGGTTATTTCTTTTGCTGCTATGAGAATCACCGTTAGCTCTGTTTGAACTACATTGGCACTATTGCTCACAGCCCATTTTATGTTAAGGTTTAAGAATCTGGAGTATATTCCGCATCCTGAGCCTTGGTTTGTTTTAGAACCGTCGGTGTAGATATGAATCGTACCTGCCACTTTTGGCTCTTCTATTTGTTCTATTATAACTTTATATGGCTTATGGAATGTATACATGTTAATCATGATTACATACAAATTATAAAAAAATCATTTTATAAAGTTTTCTATTTAAAACACTAGTAATTCATTCGTTCTCTTACCAAAAAAGAACTATTATTTTACAGACTTCAATGGTATATCAACTACAACGCCGAATAAGAAACTTAAGGGAACAAGTTCAAAGAAAAGATTTACATCTCGATCTTCTTCGAAGAAAATTATCTATACAAGAGGACAATAATAGAGTTAAGTGTATACTTCAAAATGAAAGAGACGAAGCAAATGATCGAATTAAAAAGTTAATCAAACAAAGTGACCGACTTCAACTACAACTTTCTGAAGCTAAAAGTCAGATAAGAAATTTGAATTCGCAGCTAGCTGAGGCAACAGATTTTAAGGTACTTTCCACCTCTATTACAATAACAAATTTTATTTATTTCGGAAGATATATTTTTATGAACGAAAAACCTGTTTTGGAGAATTTAATTTGTCATACATAAATGAAATATGTTTGTTGGTGTTGGCCCTTAATTGTACTCAAATTAGCGCAAGTTAATTTCTATGGAGAGTAGAGGAAAGGAGGACGATCTCATATGGTTGTTAATCTCAAAAAGTGTCCACTCGAAAGCAGTAAATAAGGTTTCAGAAAGTTACAACAAGAATGGTGCTCGTACTGGAAGGGAAAGGTCCATTGATATATAGTTATATAGATTACTTATCCATATGTAAATCAGAGTACTATTGTCTATTATGAAAAATTCTCTACGATTATAAGCTCAGTCGCTTTTCACGATGTAGTTTTTAGGCAATACCCTTCGAGCATATATACCCTCTAACTATAGACATCATTTGTGTCATTGTGTTCTGAATTATCGACTGTCACAACTTTCGGCGTCCTTCTGGTACAGTATTGCTATTTTTGAGGGACACTTTTTGTAAACAGAGATAATTATCCTTACATCTACACACCATATTAATTCCAGTAGTGAGATCCCGTTTTACGATTCGCCCTCGAATTTCTGTATCTTAATTGAATTTGATTAAATCAATAAAACGTGTTCTTTTATCTTTTTTGCTTGCCTTTACTCATAATGTTTTAATACATAGCAAAAAAAAAGGTTTAAAATATCTAATAAATTTGGCAAAGCGATATGACACAAAGTTACATTTTAGAATAATTATGACAGGGTCGGTCTTCCTATACAGAGTGAGCCATGTTTGACTTTCACAGCCATCTCGAGTTTAAATTAAAATAAAAAAGTATAATTCAAACATTTGCATACCTACAGGATATGGTTAGAAAAGGAATTTAGTTTAATGCTTTGTTAAAAGTATTACCATAAATTCTATTTTCTATCAATATTTTTGCATTTCAGATAATGTCTTTAGAAAGAGGAAGAAAAATTGAAGACCTTCAGAAGCGACTGATCGAATCTGAGTCTCTACGGAATAAATATAACCGCAAAATATCTCTTTTAAAAGAACACGTTCGCACTACTGGAGAAACAATCGACACGGAAAGGAACATAAATGAACAATCATTACAATTTCTTAGAGATGAATTAGCTAAATTTAAACAAAATTTGTCAGATGTACAACGAAAAGAAGCTCAATTACAAAACTTTAAACATTCCATAGCTAAAATTCTTGGAGTATCAAGCCTTATACCGGATTATGAACTAATATCGAGGTATTATTCAAAATTAACTAATATAGCAAACATATTAAATAAAAAAAAACTCAAAAACTGTATCAAGAAAAAGTTGAGCGCCTGTTTCCCTCTGGAAAACAACTACTCCTGTGGCTATATAGCTACAGGCATTGGATAGAAAATCAGACAGGAGTATTTGTGTCGCTCGGCGTTTCTTTATTTTTATCCTTGTCACATTTGAATTTGAAATTATTTTTCTTTGATAATTGTCAGTCTGGTTATTATTTTGACTTACATTTCTGACATTCCGATAAATTGTCTATTTTCACTTATTATATCAGCCTTAAATATTATCCTGCTTGTTATGACACACGTATATTTGTAATTTTTTATTCATAATCTTTCTGTATTTTCTATTAATTTTGTAACATTTTTTTATTTCCCATACTGTTATTATTAGGATGGTGTAAAATAATAAAAAAACAATAATTACATTTTTAGACTCCAGAAACTAGTTGACGCCCATCATGATTTTACGTTAGTTTCGAAAAGATACGATGATCCTATGTTAAGATTAGCATCAAGAAGCCCAACGGGAGGAAGTAGATGTACAAGAACTCCTGACAGGTCAAGATACGATGACTCCGGATATATAGACGGAGTTGATTTAGATGTTTAATTTATTTGTTATAAAATACGTTAGAATGAATGAAAAAATAGTTTAAGTGCATGAACGTATTGTATAGATATCTATATGTCGCCATCAAATGTTCACTCATTAAAATAAGTATGTTATATTTCAATAGTTTAATATTCCACTTTACCATCCTTTACCCTTCTCATAATATTATTCCAGTTAAGCCTGAATAACTAGACGTTATCAGTTTTATTATTTTACCTTTGGACCCCTGCTAGGACCCTAGTCCGTCTGAAGAACTGCACTGCAGCCCTCAGGGTTTATTGTGCCACCATTCTCAGATACCAATTTTAGTCGAAATCTGCCAACTTTTAAAAATATTTTTTTTTTTTAATTTGGTGTCATCGGCGTCGACTACTACGGCCATTAGCCTCGTGTTCTGTGTAGGATTTGTTACTGTTTCCCAGCGCCACTTTAGGAACAGCACTGTTAATTAGAACCCAACAGTGAATGGTCGAGTGGGGACTCCTATCTATGCATTAGAATTAATATTTAATTTTTTTTTAATTAAATAAAAATCCTTGCCACCGGTGGGATTCGATCCTGAGACCTTCCGATCTCAAAGTCATTACTCTAACCACTGAGCCAACCCACCATTTTTATTTAAAAAACTGCTCACCCTGTATATAAAACTGATCGAAAGTATAACTACTGGTTTCGAGTCAGAAAGGAACCTTATCTCCATATAAAATTTGAAGTTTTTCTATAAAGCTGTTTTAGAGCTATCGCGCCAACAGACAGACAGACAGACAGACAGACAGACCGGAATGGAGAAACATGGTTTTCGTAATCTACAGACCTTGAAACGTGAAAATCTGAAATAATCTCGGAAGGTGACTTTTTAACGATTACAATACTTCCCTTTTATAAGAGGGAAGTAAAAAACAAAAGAAAAAATAAAAAACAAAAGAAAAAATAAAAAACAAAAGAAAAAATAAAAAACAAAAGAAAAAATAAAAAACAAAAGAAAAAATAAAAAACAGAAGAAAAATAAAAAATTGGACTATGGTAGCCGAGTTTTTATATCTGCATAAAAACCATCTTTACGCACCTTAAATACTTTCCGCCTTTATCTTGATGCTTTTAGATCCAATACAGGGAGCAGTTCAGTGGCGTAGCCACGGGGAGGGGGGAGGGTCAGAATCCCCCTTCCATGGAGGGTCACCATTTCCGCTATAGTATTGGCGCTGATCGCTAAAGACTGTTTGTTTTTATTCACTTTTTTGATGAAAACAACCCCCCCCCCCATAGTTCTCAGAAACCCCTCCCATGAAAAATGGCTGGATACGCCACTGGAACAGTATTTATTGTGAATTCCACGAGCTCCCTTTATATTTCCGCCAACACCTTAACCTACCATCATATACTAGATTATCATCAAATCCAAGAAAACCGGTATGTAATCTTCTCATTTGTTCACGAAACTCTAATGTATCCAACACTTCAAGAAATATTCAATCTGTTCCACGCATATTAAAGCCTCTTTTAGATAATATTAACTTTCAATATCACATATTTATATTTTTCTTATACTTCTCCTTGGACTAACAAGATGCCATGATATAAACATAATTATCTAAATATATTAAAGAAATATTCCCAGTGTACTGTTTAAACAATATTTTATTAATATCCATACAAATCATTTCAATTCCATTTACATTACCGATGCATCCAAAAACGAAAATGGTGTGGGTTACCCAGTAACAGCCACTGAAACAGCACTGGTAAAATTAAAACTTACAATGAACTTTAGTATTCACAAAGGCGAACTATTTAGGATCTTGAAAGTTTTAGAGTTACCAATTAAAGGGTAGCCATTTGCACTGATTTTATTTCTATCGAGGAAAGTTTTTCTCAACATCCATTTCTGTATCAATTATTTGGGGTTCGTCACAAAGTGGGTATTAGGCAACGTCAAGGAACGTATTACAACCAGTGATGTAAAAATACCGTAATTTATATTTTTGGTAATTTACGGGTTTTAATTACCACAATTAATTACCTTGGTGATAAATTTGTATCGTAAATTACTGTGGTAATTTACCTTAAAATATTTTATACACATACATGACTAATAATGACTTCGTAATGAAATTAAGGTGTGTAAGTGCCTGTGTCGAACATAGAATTGTTTTATTTGTTTGTGAATAAAACTAATTATTTGTTACTAAATATAATTTAAATTTAGGTTTAAGTAATACAAAACGCGAAAGAAAACAAAACATAAAATGAAATTTTATTGTTTGTGCAGGTGCTTAATCTAAAAAAAAACTTAACTACTTTGTATAAAAAAAAATATTTTAATTTTATAAGAATTATAGATTATGTTTTATTAATTATATTTTGCATAATATGTTACGTTGGCATTTCACAATGAGCTGGACTAAATGAGATCTCTAAATTAACTATTTTATCTAGTTCAGTATCGCTATTTACTTCAGACCAGTCGGATTCATATCCAGATTCACACTCCAAAGAAGATTGTAATGAACCGGATGAACATTCCGCTATATTTAAATTTTTTCTGATACAAACAATTTTTTGTGCCCTTTCATTTGTTAGTCGATTTCTTATATTTGTATGGACATTTCCATACGTTGATGGGCAGTTTAATACTTCTACAGCTATTTTGCTTAACTCTGTTGTTGAACAAATCGATTTCCACCAAGTCACTGCAGACAGTTTTCCATTTTTTAGACTGGTCTTTAGCAAATTGGGCTTCTTTAGATCTTTAAATGGCAATACTTTTCTGCAAGTAAATTCCAGCTAGCTGTCATGTTTCTTTCATTGTCTGTTGTAATTGACATAATTTATTCTAATCGTATTTCATCAATTACTTCGGATATAATGTTACACATGAAAGTTGCTTCATGACAAGCTGCTTTCGTATCTACTATTTTATATAACACAGGCTCAAGTGTGGTAAGAATAGGATTTACCATATTACAAAATACAATTTCCTGACATTACTAATGAAATTCCGGACAAATTTTTAAAAATCCGTACAAAATAATAAAATTTCACGAGTATATTACTTTAATTTATTTCTGGTTGATTACGGTAAATTACGGAAAATGACCACAGTAATTTATCGGTAATTTACCAATTCACATCTCTGATTACAACTGATCTTCAGAAAATATCTATCTATACAAAGATGGTGTATAAAACATTCAGTTTGAAACAAGTGGTCAAAATACTGGAGTGAATCTAATAATAATGTATGTGCAATTAAATTCGATGTCACCATCTTCAAAATGGTACGATTGGTAGAAAAACTAAAACTATAATTCGAAGATTACGAATAGGTCCATGGTTTTCTAATGGCTTCCGATACTGCTCCCGTCTGCCATTTTTGTTGTAATACTTCAAATCACATACTGATAGATAGCCCACAATATGCTGAAGCTCGCAGAAGAAAGTTAGGTTAAAAATGAGTCCTCTGTGATTGTGGCTCACGTCTTGTAGTTTACCGTATAAGCTACATCTGAGGAAGCCCCAGATTGAGTTGGGTGAGACTTGCTTAAAGTTAGTGTACTCCAATCGGATGAATCCGAAGATCTGGAACCTAGTTCTTTCCAAAGCAGAGTAGGTAGATAGAATGGCTCTGCGGATTTGTCTTCCACGCTACAGAATGGACAATCCAATGGTTGTTGAGGACCTATCTTTCTCATGTGGTAAGAAAAAAGATTCAACTAATTCCTTAAAAGTTATTGTTGGACAATTCCCGAGAGTAATAATCTTCCTTAAGAATGCCAATTTTCATGGCTCTATATAGAATTTAGAAATTATAAGCAAAACAGGTCCACAGGTAAGATTTTGGTAGCACTGTATGTATTGGATATCACGCATTAACAGATTCAAACATACGAACTCACTATGAGAAATAGATAAGTGGTTAAATTCTACAATTTCACCAGTAAAAACATCAACAAATTAATATTTTACATCTACTAAATAAATAAACAATTCTCAAATAGTTCGACTGCTTTTTACCCTAATATAATGTGAAGTCATAAAACTATAAATAGCATTTTTCTCAGAATACCGAACGTCGAACACCTGTGTTTTCAGGTGCGCAGCGGTGCATTGGAACAAAATGAGTGTCCGGCGCATAGTTAACGAAGCACAAATGACGTATTTCATTATGTCATGATGTTTTCATTGGTTGAAACCGAATAGGTGCGTCAACTATGCCCCGGCCACTCATTTCGGTCGAACAGTATATATTAGGGCGAGCTCGACGCGAACGGCATTCAATAGTTGTCTTATTGCCACAAACGAGTTCAGGTACTTTCTGCCGACGGCACGTTACTTTCTACATTTTTACAAGCGTTTAATGCAGTTTATTTTCTGGTGCAAGTTATATCTTCTACAATTATTATGGCATAAGAAATTCTACAAACAAATGTTTTCAAGTTGGTAACTAAAAAATCAACTGTATTAGTTAATCAAATTGTGATGAACTAAAATTGTAAATATTTAAAACTGTTTAGTGAAGATAAGAAAATTATTATATCTAAATGGAATCAACCACTATGTATTTACTTCAGTGAAAATAGTGAATTAAAAACACTTCTTTTTCTACTACCTATGACTCGTTAGTTATTTCTACAAAAGAACCCAATTCTTCTAAACCCAGCGACATATGCTTCAGAACATTTTTACCAAAGAAATATTCGGAAGTAACACCGGTATTTTTTCAGATAAGCGAGGGTAAGTTTCAGGTAAAACGTGATTACAAAGATTGTTGGTGATTACCTAAAACTTACAGGTAGAAATAGACAGACAAAAATATGATTTTGTTTAAGTTATTAGTATACCTCATAAACCAATTTAATTTAATTAAACTTATTTTAAGGCGAAGAAGGCTTTTAAAAGTAGGCAACAACACATTCATTTTTCGTTTGTACTATTTTTGAGATTTTCTTATCATTTTAATAATTTATGTATCTTTCAATACAAAGATCGATAAGGAGTTTTACGATTAGTAGGTTCATAAAACAAAATGCCAGTAATTGAAAAAAGTTGATATTGTACTAAAGATGTTTCTATTTTATACACCCTCGCTTAAAGGTGAGTAACTTTCAATTAAATAATTTTCTTTAAAAACAGGTAGAAAGGCATTAATAAAATTATTTTCTAATTTGAAACTATCTAAAAGAACTTTTCTTAAGACCGGCATTAGACCATAAAAGTTATTTTCCAAACAGATTCTATAAAATATATTTGATGAATTTTATTAATATAAGACCGGCCTTAGACTATAAAAGATATTTGACAAATATTTTCTATACAAAAAATTTGATGAACAATATACGTTGTTTTATCAAATAGTTTGGTTGTAAAATATATTTTATCATAAATAAATTAGGTGTTATATTTTATAAAATTTCTTCGTCAAATATCGTTTATAGTCTGTTGCCAGCCTTAAGAAGTAAATTAATAGAATATAGTTGCTTAGTCACTGCGGTTATTAACAATAATTCAAAATTCTTGGAAGAATTTGCCAGTCAATTTTCGGAATAAATCTAATTCCTATAAATATTTATATACATATAGGTACTGTGTTTGGCCTGATGGTCCAAAATGCATTAATCGCATTGTGCTCGGAATAATCGGAATTCTTTTAGATAAACAATTCGTCGTTCAGATAAAATTATCAATCTGTAAACAACACAAATAAATAAAGTTATCTTACAAAACACCATATTACATGCCATTGTAATTTGGTTTACTAACACCCCCCATTTCCTGTATACATAAAACTATGTCGAAGAATATTTTTATACAGATGATTACATTGTTGTTGTTTTCTATTTCGTGCTTCCTATGTTTGAATTTTATGTTTAGAAGAATTGTTGAAATTTGTAATTATCATTAAATTTTTTTAAATGAAATTAAAAATGAAGGTATCTTAAACATTAAGCCATTTGATGAACCCATCATTATTTTTTAAAGTTTTACCATTCAATTTTTTTTTCCTCAAAGAGTGATCGACTTTACCCCGCATATTGGGTAAAGTCGATTAACAAACATTAAAAAAAAATTAGCCAATCTTTTTAATTTTAGGTTAAGAATTCCATAAAAAAAAATAGAAAAATGCTTCTTTATTTCGTTTTTCTTTTACAGCCAAGTGTTGCTATTACTAAATAAACAACGAAAAACTATAAATAATAGAAAAATATAGCAACAAAACATAATCACAAATTCTTAGATCTATCTAAAAAAATAAAATATAGGTACTTCTTTACATAGGTAGAAAAATTCAGTCAAAAATTAAATAAAATTGAACATAAAATATAAAATTCTTAGCTGTACAAACAAAACTTATTCTAGAAGATCTTGTTCTTCTTCGCTTAAATGAAAGGTGTGCCTTTCACGTTTTTCTCCTTTCAAGTTAACTTTCCTTTTAATCTGCTCAAACGTAAATATTGATAGGTCTGGAAATTGAGGATACACAAAAAATACATCTTTGTCTGAGTCCTTCTTGCGTATTGTATTAACACTTAGTTCTTTGTCTGAGATAGTTTTAATCTTGGCAATAAAATGTTGGTTTTGAATTTTACTAATAGTCACGTCCGCCCACCCGTCTCCCACTATTTCTAAAACTGAAAATTAAACTGCCACAACCAAACCTAAGATTACTTTCAGACGCCCAAGACTTCCCCTTCGCGCTGAACTCCAGGACACAGTTTATAGCTAAAGAATCAGTTAGCTCACTCGGGCCAATTGGATGTTCCAAAATAACGTCCACTCCAGGGATACAAATTCAGGATGCGCAGAAGACTGCTGTTTGAATATAGGCGGTTGTCATAATATTGTATTAGGCATTTCAAACAAATGAACTACCATTGAGACGATTTGATATATCCAAGGGTTGCGACATACGATGTATTTTGTTTACAATACGTAAAATCATAAATAATGGATTACATTTAAAAAATAGTGGCACTCGGGGACTGCCGCGGTAAAGCTATTGCATAGCATTTTTTTATCAACTTCTGCAATTATAATTATTTATTTATTTTATTTATGCAGCATTTTTTTCTTTGACATTAATTTAAGTTTTTTCTTTAATATTAATTCAAGTTACACTTTTTGAGCGTGGTGACCGATAAGAAGACATTTTTTTCTTTTATTGAATAAATGAAAAGTTAATATTGTTTAAAATATTTTAATTATCTTACAATACATGTAGGTTATTCAGGAATTTTTATCATTGAAACTATAGGTTTATGGTAACTGAAATAAGAAACATCAGTTTGAGACTTGATATCCTCTAAATATCTGGAAAATACCGCGTTAATGGTGGTCTCATACTTTCTTGTGGATCATTATTCATTTTCAAATTCAATTTTTCCGAAATTGTGTCTAAAAGAGATAGAATCAGTTAGCAGCTAGTCTACACGCATACATCTAGTCGCACGCACACAAACATCGTGCCGAAGTCTGCCGAACTGAAACGACGTTAGACGATGCACGGCTTTCAACGCCGCACCGCCGTGCCGGTCGAAGTGGGAGGTGTTAGGTTTATTTTCGTTACAGAATTTCTATTTCGATTTTTCGATTTTTTGATTTTTTGATTTTTTGATTTTTTGATTTTTTGATTTTTTGATTTTTTGATTTTTTGATTTTTTGATTTTTTGATTTTTTGATTTTTTGATTTTTTGATTTTTTGATTTTTTGATTTTTTGATTTTTTGATTTTTTGATTTTTTGATTTTTTGATTTTTTGATTTTTTGATTTTTTGATTTTTTTGGTTTTTCTATTTTTCTATTTTTCTATTTTTCCATTTTTCGATTTTTCGATTTTTCGATTATTCGATTTTTCGATTTTTCGATTTTTCGATTTTTCGATTTTTCGATTTTTCGATTTTTCGATTTTTCGATAAAAGCTATGCAATAGGTTAAATATTTTATGTCAAACACAATAAAAATAATAATCAAAATAAGAAACCGCTCATACATTTTTTCATAAATTAACAGACTTGGTAACTATTATTTCGAATGAAAAAAGCATTCAAGATTGTATCGCTACCCCCTTAGATATACCAGACCTTCTCACTGGCAGCTATTGTTTGACAGGTCGTTGGAATGTCTAATTGGTTATAGTTAGAGAGCCCACTGCAAATTACGGCCGCCATCTGATAAAAAAAAATGTGCTCCAAAGATATGTAACAACGTTGTACTTTTCCAATCTATCCTGAGCAAAGTGGTTAAAAAAAATTATTTTATATTCAAAAAATCACATAAGACATGTCAGCGATAATTGTGTTTTCCCTAAAAATTACAATCCCAATTCATTTGAACCTAGCTTTTAAACCCGAATTATTAATATGTTTACCTACCTTTTATACCATGTGTATGTGTGAAAGGAAAAAGGATGGCATTGTATAAATCATTTGCAAAGATAGTCAATAATAATAATTATAAACTCTTGTTAGACACTTCTAATAATAATATATAAGGAAAAATGGAGATTGCCGCTTTTGTTATTCACTTTGGGAGATTGCCATGTTTGATTCTAAATAATCCTAGCAGGGCTGGTACCAGCCCTGAATCCTAGTAGTTTTTTTTGTCGTTTCTATGGCAACCTGTAAAAATGAATCACAACAATAGGCATACAAATAAATTTTTAAATCAACAAAAATTGATTCATATTTTATATGATTTTTACCTACTAATCGTGTGTAGATGTTTTTGTGCGATGTTAAGAGAAAGAAAATGTTTCCCGTTAACGATATATATCAAGATATATTTGAACATGTTATTATCTGGAAAACTTTAAAGGCAAAAATATTAGCGCTGTCATGCCTTATGTGATTTTATTAATATAAAATTTTTTTTTAACCACTTTGCTCAGGATTGGGATTGGCACAGTTGCCATTTGGTAAAGTACAATGTTTTTACAAGCTTCTGGGGTATATTTTATTTCATTATCAGATGGCAGTAATAATTTGCAGTGGGCTTTTGGGCTATTATGATTTGATTCTGTATGCGCCAGGGATGCAAATCCGAGTTGCGCAATGTATAAACTGGAACATTGAGATCAAAAATGCCGACGCAGAATAAGCGAACTGATTCTTTAGCTATAAACTGTGTCCAGGATCTACTGGACAGCCCACTATGCATTAGATAAAACCCTTCCCGATCATATAATTAGATATAATATTTCGTACATTATCGTGATTTAGGTTTTCATGGTTTCCCTAAATCATATCTTCCACCTTACACTATGGCTGCCGCTCCATATATGAGGTTGGAAATAGCAACATTTGTGTTATTATTTCGGGAACAGAACCTGCCACACAGGTCCCACACGCGCACACGCTAACACTTAGACTTATTGTAATCAGGGCAAACCACCCTGAAAAGGAGAATAACTCCTATAGCAAGGTATTAGGAATATAAAATGTCTTAGAAAATTGTAAAATAAAACTTATGAAAAAGTCATTATTAAACTAAAAAAAAATGAGGATTCAATTTCAGTTGATACGTCGAGAAGAGTACTTCGTCCATGCCACTGAAAATGGCTGCAGCATATAAAGCGTTTAGTAGTAATAAGCAAGAAAGACCACGGTATAACAGCCCGGAAACAAAGAATTACATTAACGCCGGCCGCGAAAACTTATACATTCTTACATAAATTATATTATGGTAAAGTTCATTTATTTAAACAGTTCATTTATTTTATAACGTAATTTAATTATACTCAATACAATAATATATTTATATTTATCTTAACAACGCGATATCTTAACTAAAACTGACTATAATGGCAAATTTTGGCTATATATATATAAAAAAAATGTGGCGCTCCACACTTATTCTAGAAAATTCTAGATGACTTTTGACTAAGAATAGTCGCTTCCGTCATTTTCTAGACTTGTGCATCCACGAACATTTGTAATTTCGTTAGCATTCAGTATTTTCTAGAATGAATGATTTACTTCGATAGGACTGCTCGGAAATGATGCACATGACATAATTATTACTATTATAAATTTATATTTATATTTCTTTTTCAGTTTTTTGTGGTTTGGATATTTTGAAGAGAAGAAGAATTCAATTATTCATCTTATTAGCTTGTTTGCTTGCTTTGGCAGAATCCGGATGTCCAGATTTTTGCAAATGTACATCGATTGCGATTAGTTGCATGAACAGAGATATTGACAGAATTCCAAATTTTGATTCAATAAATGTAGATCCAATAACAATTGACCTTTCTGGTAATAGAATAAATATCATCGATAAAGTTGATCTACATTTTAGTAAAAGTTATATGGTAAAAGAAGTATACCTAAATGATACCAATCTCATTGATATTGAGAGCGAAGCTTTCAATAAGATGGAAAATCTTCAAGAATTGTATTTGGGAAATAATTTGTTAACTTCTGTGCCATCAGACTTTATAAAGGACTTATATAATATGGTTTTACTGGATTTATCGGGCAACTACTTCGAAGGTAATCATACTCCTCTAAATTCAAACTAAAAATATTAATTGTAATAAATTAATTAGGTATCTACCTAATTTAAAACAGCTTTTTCTAATATTCCATCATAAAATTGATAAAATGATGGAGGAAGTTTTAAAATCAAAACCATTTTTAATTATTGACACGAACCTACGTAAATATCTCGAATTTGGTACAAAACCTTCGTGAAATTACAAAATATAAAAAATACATAGACCAGTGGCACCGTTCATAAAGTAAGTAGTTAGGTCACTCTTGGGGCCTTTGTTCTTCTTTGAACAGTTTTGCCGATGAATGCCGATGTACTTCCGGGAAAAAAGCGTTGGTCGTCGCTTGTATGAACAGTGACTGAGCCAACATAGTATGGTAGATACACACCCGCAACTCGTCATTGATAAAAGTGTACACGTTGTGAAGGCAAGATCCAAATTATTCCAACTCTGAATCGAAGTGAGAGAACCACTGATCTGTATTATTTTACTGGATAGGATATAGGCTATATTTAACATACTAAAAATCCGTTCCACCAAGGAGACCGGAAGTGCAACACTGCTGGCCGATTTGGGCAAATTATGGTGGGTTCACAGAACTGAATTTTGGGATAATTTGACATACCTAACCTATAATTTGATTAGTTTTTCTTCTTATTCTTCTTCTATTCCTTTTGCGGGCAATGTTCTTCGGGACAATTCACACACGAATTGATTTTTTTAATGAAAGAAAATATAAAAATGGAAACGTGAAGCATATTGTGTCTTCACGAAAGAACGTTTATTGTTTATATCATAGTAATGATATCCGATACTACCTACATAAATAAAAAAAAACATCTCGTCGTAACTTGTTGACACAATTAAATGAGAAATGTGATGACAAATGTAAATAGAGGTTATGTTAAATAACATCCGGTCCGCCATATTATTTGCCCAAATCGGCCAATTTTTCGGAACGTTTTTTAGGGGGCTATATCCTATCCAGTAAAATAATACAGATCAGTGGAGAGAACCGATTATACGGGCTTAACACGGCAACAGCGCGTCATTGCTTGCTGACTGCATTGAAAATATTCATAAGCGTAGGTATCACTCGTAAAGGGCAATATTTAATAATTTTTAATTTTCTCAGTAAATATTTAAAATATCGATTTTTTTTATTCCTAATTATTGTTATAGCAGATATTCATTGTATTCTAAAAGCACTTAGTGTCCAAATAAGAAAGGAAGCCGGTTGTTGTTGTTGTTGTTGTTGTTGGCTGTCAAAACGTACCTTCAATAAGTGGTTAAAGAGAAATCGATGGAAATTATTTTCTAGTTTCTGAGTTCACCGCTAGATTTCAAAATGCGTATGACCAATGATAAATGAATGAATAGTCAAAACTGAGTAAAATTTTGTTTCCGTATATGATTTTGATATGTTTACATATAACTTTGACTTTTTTGTAAACGAGTTTCTATCGGTGATAATGAGCGTTGCGCCCTCTAGCTATGAACTTGAAAATAATTTCCAGCGATTACTAAGAAAGACTTTTATTAAAAAAAAAAAACATTACAATAAATTGTTCTGTAGATATGGCCGGCATCCTTTCTTATTTGGACTTCCAGTACCTACTCTGTAAATTGACTATACTAAATTAAGATTGTTTAATATATTATTATTCTTTCGTGAAAGCAGTACCTAGTACCTATAAGTGTTGTTATATTTTAACTCACTATTTATGATTGAAAATGTGAATAATAAACCTAGTAGTTTTATTATAAAATTTAAGTCATTTTCACTTGCAATTTATTTGGCCGCCTGATGAAACAGGGGCTTCTTTCGCAGAGCTGGGTAATTACATGTACTTTAAAAATAATTACAGTTACAAAGTACTTTTCAAAAAAAAAGGAATTAATTACAATTACAAAGTACATGTTGTAAAAATGGGAATTATATTGATTTAATTACAATTACATGAAAAATGGAATTAGCAATTATTTTTATAATTACTTTTCTAATTACTTTGCCGATAAAACAACAAATTATGATAGAATTGAGGAACCATGAACCAACCGGAACGGTTTTTAAATAGGTAATTCAAAGTGTCAAACTAACAGCCGTTTGCAACGACTTTCTTAAGGATTCCTTAAAGTTAAAGATATCAGGGGCGGGTTGTATAAATCTTACTTAAAGTTAAACTCTATGGTAAAATATTAGAATTGGGGCACATGCCGCCATCTACGCATGAATAGATGTATCTATTTACATTTGGAACTAGCGGTACACGAAACAGTCCAGTGCGAATTAAGTTGTAGACTTAGAAATGTGTGGTACATTTTGTAGACCAGCGCGCATATAATGTATAATTTTGGTGGTCCATATTTTGTACCATCGCTCTTGATAGAGTTAAAAGTATCAGGTGATATATTACCGCAAAAGCTATCTATTTACTGAATTGTTTCTATAATTTTTTTTTCTTAATTTTTATCATTATTTAGGATAAATTTTGTTTCCAGGTGACATGCCGGTTATACAATCCGAAAGTTTGGAAGTCTTGACAATGTTAAATTGCCAAATAACAAGTATTACTGTTGAATCACTGAAGCATCTTTCTAATTTAAAACTATTATCATTGGAACAAAACAATATCCAACACATAGATACAAACGCGTTCGAATCAATTTCAACTAAATGGTTAATGCTAAAATTACCTTTTAATACTTGGAAATGTAATTGCCAAACAATAAAGGCCTTATTTTTTTTATCAGGACATAAATACATTGATCCATCTGATCAATACGAGTGTCAAATAAATAAAACAGCCATTAAAATTTTTAAATCGAACGAATTTATAGAAGAATTTTGTGACATAAGCTATTCAAATGGACAAAATCAAAATGTTCTTGGAAATGATGATTTGTTACCAATGGATGATAATAACGCTAAACCTTACGATCTCCAAAAAATAGAAAACACTTTACAGGAGGAATTCGAGAATGAAAATAAGCAGGGAGCGGAATATAATCAAAATTTGCCAACAAGTAGTGAACATAATAAAATTGATTATTTAAGTATTTCATTTTTTGTAGTTGTATTCATAGCAATAGCATTTATACTAAAACGCTTGATATTAGTTGAGTATAAAAATATGAATGAGTCTGATAGTACAACTCAATTACTATAAAAATGGTCTATATTGTCAAATAAAGTTGATGTAGGTAGGTATTATGTTAATCTACTTAAATCTTAATCAGATAGGTATATTTTCACTTTCTGAAATGCTGAGAATGTTTTAGTTTCATAGATAAATGTTTCATTAGAAAATTAGCAATACCGAATATTGAGGATGCTAACTTGGTTAACGAAACATATTTTTCTTTGAAAAGTAATAAGAATTTGCCTTTTTATTGTGAATATAAAGCCGAAAATGATTCAATATCCAATAATATTAAGTACCTAATTCTTCTGGTATTATAAAACAATTTAAGGAACAGTAATTCTACAAATTTATATTTTGATGTTCTCTAGGTACAATTTATAGGTACAATGCAGTGCATTTCTGAAAAGAAAAACTTTTACCAATCGTGTTCATTGTAATAATGTAAATTATCCGCGATTGAGCAGTGAAAGCTAGATGGGAGGACTTCATTTCAGAGGTACACTTCATTTCTTTTGCAAACAAAAATAATTTAATATTATTTTATTAAAAAAATATATCCACAAAAATGTTTCTAACGGGGGCGGACATATTATGAACGGGCAAGTCGGTGCAGTGCACAAGGGCCTCGTCTCAAGGTGTCCCAAATGATCAAACAACGAACAAATCCGAGCTATATAAAATAATACTTTATTTTATGGACAATTCAATCTCCGTTCGATCTTGCCCATAAATAATATTAATGTATATTTCTTATTTTCGAAAACAAAATAAAGAAAAATGTAAGAACGTCTGAAAGCTTATGCTGGTGCTTGTTGAATAATCATATTATGACACAGTATAGGTACATATAGTAGTTTTTATTCGAATGTGTCATAAAGTCTTTTTTCGGACAGAAACCATAATCGAAAAGAAGAATTTTAAAATATACGTTAAATGAACTGCGGAAAAATTATTTTACGGCCCAGGCAGACGTGTTTATTTTTTTACGTGATAAAAATACATAAGTACATGAAATTTCTACCCGAAATAACGTCATCATATCTGGATGAAGTGACATCGTCCTTTCTACAAACCGGCGTACAGCGTACCCTGGGCAATCGTGGATAATTTATACTTATATTACAATGAATAATATTTACTGAAAGTTTAATCTATTCAGACAAATAATGTATTTTTACCTACGCCTTTTGAATTGAAAAAGTCGCTAGAAAAAATATTCTCTACTCATGAAAGTTTTTCAAATTGAAAGAATTTTTATAAGCATATACTTATAATTTTAATAAATATTTATAGTTTTTATTTATTGTTTTATTTTAATCGCCCACAAGGCAGTGTGCTAGGACCGGTTCTTTACTTATTATACACCAGCGATATCCCTCAACAACAATCTGTTAAAATTGCAACATTTGCAGATGGCACTGCAATATTGGCAGTTGGCGGAACTAATACAGAGACCTCAGAAAAACTTCAGGAAACCTGCAACAGAATCAATAGATGGACAAAAAAGTGGGAAATAAAAATAAATCAAACTAAATCAGTGCATGTTGATTTTACTCTTCGACTAAATGAACAAAAACAAATAAGAATAAACAACGCCGTTATTCCGCATCACGATTCGGCCAAATACATAGGGATGAACCTAGATGTAAGACTTAAATGGAAAGAGCACATAAAAAAAAAACGTAAAGAACTTGAACTTAAATTCAAAAAAATGTATTGGCTCCTAAGAAAATCCAAATTGTCAGTGCATAACAAACTGCTGATTTATAAACAAATCCTAAAACCAATCTGGATTTATGGCATATAGCTATGGGGATGTGCCAGCAAGAGTAATATCAACATGATACAAGTTTTCCAAAAAAAAGTCCTAAGATGCATTGTTGATGTACCTTGGTTCTACCGAAACGATTATATTCATAGGGACCTGAAGATGCCAACAATTAAAGAAGAAATAGAGGTTTGCTGCGAAACATGAGGGTCGACTCCACTCCCACGTCAACGAAGAAGCGCTGCAATTACTGGACAACTCTACACTCAACAGAAGGCAAGGAAGAAGTCATTTGAGCTAGTGCAGTGAACGTTAATGCTAGTGCCAGTGTAAAACAGTGTAATAAATCGTCACGCCAACTTGTGATGCTTTCCTATAGAAACAATTAAGGGAGCCCAATGGGGACTTCTTAGATAAGTAATTAGTTTATAAGATTTTTAGATTAAAATTGTAGGTTAGTCATTAATGACTAGTAACAATACTATAACAAAAAAAAAATTTTAATCGTTAAGTCAATAAATTTTATAAAAATTAACTAATTAGCGGCGCATTTAGCGGTGATCTAAAAATGATCCAAACAAAGTTGACAGTAGACAAGTTGTTATTAATTAGTACGTTTTTTTTATTGAATTAATGGACGTTTTCACATCTACTGATACCGGCATGATACCGACATTGACATAATATTTTCACATTAGCCGGTAAGAACAGAATCTGCTGCAGTGCTAATACAAGTGTTAAACAATTTGATCGTTTTATTTGTTTTGAGACGCAAAATATGAAATAAACAAAGGAATGGGCAAGGTCGTAGAATTAGGGGGGCACATAATCCGTCTGTTATGAGTTGATGATTCATTTTGAATCTTCGCCACCCACGTAAGGTTTCCTTCCTGTTACAGGGAGGCAAGATAGCCTGTATATTTGTAGAAACTTGTAGAACATACCTGCACAACGGAGATTTTCAAAGGGCCAGTTCAAAAACCGTAAGGGCCAAAAAGCAGGTCGAGGTGGTCTGTTCAGATTCTAAAAAAAAGTCGTCAGCATATAATGAACCAGGTCCTTCTATCGAGCTCATAAAAAAGGCAATTAATACCTAAATGCAATTTTGTTACTGAAAAATGTATAGTTTGACATAGACGGGCCAAACTGGTCAACGGACAAAGGGCCAAGAAAACGACAATGGCGGGCCATCCATATGTTGTGTAGGCCTGTTGTAGAATCTATGATTTTAGTGATGAACTGCTAGATACAATTTGCTTTGGAATCTTGATATTAAAATAGTTACTTCTGCTAACTGGTTTATTTAAGACTATAAACTTTGCATTGTATCACCTAACAATTTTACATATTTTTTATGTGCTTAAATTTTCTAACGAGCATGCAAGTTTGAAACATCGCTTTTTATTGTTTCAAGAGAAACGAAGTGCATGTAAAACAAAAGGTGTTGCTCTGTTGGGGGTCGAAGTAGTTCTCATCGAGAGTGAATTGGGTGTCGTGTGGAAAGGTTAGCATTTTTGTGCTGTTGCGATTGATCTAGAAAAAGGACCACATGTGTGGACACTGTCCTGTGATTGGTTATTGAGAACGTAGCGAGTTTACCAGATTGGCGTAAACAGATATTAGAGATATAACCATTTATTGATAAAATATAATATTCACTATGCCAAGATTAATTCGACAATCGATACGCTCTATTTGTAGGGACGCAGCGAGGAGACGAAAGGTGAGAATTAAGAGAGGGGATAAAGAGAATTTTATGCAGACAACTTCTTTTTATCAATGAATATATGTGTAAGCCGCTGGGCGCTTATAATAAACAACGTAATTGTCCATGCCGGTGTAAGCCCTGTTGCCACTTCCAACCTAACATGACGTAAGTTTTGGAATTTATTGAAAATTATTACATCTAATTTAGTGAAATTGCATCTTATTTAGTTAAATTTGATATAACTAATGATTCAAAATTTTTTGTGTTCAGTTGCAATAAAATAGGTTGAATTATTTTAGCTTTTTTAATATGTGTGGTATAGTAACACTGTGAACCCACAATTACTGAACGTGATGACACATGACAGACAGTTGATGTCAAGTGTCCGGAAAGAAGGTTGTTGGTAAATGGCGCGTAGCCAAGACAGAAGTCGAGCAATAAAGCAAATAAGAAATACTAAAGTACTTATGTTAAATATACAAATTAGTGTAAATAAAGTATTGTAAATAACTACAGGGAACCCTCATTTATAAAAACATCACAATATGTAAATAATTTTGTAAACAAAACGAGAATAATGAAATAGGCATATGACAACAGCGGATATTATACCCTCCTGTGCCCCTTAGAATATGTCTTATTCAGGACCGCACGATATTTATTAGTAGTTACATCTCCTGTTATCTCTGACAGAGATAGAGTGAATGTTGTAACTATTAAATAAACATTGTTTTTAACGATTTATTTTAAATATGCCCATACTAGAGCAAATGATATAGATTTACGAGTGGGAACGAGTTGGCACTTGCATTTAAATTACTCAAAATATGCTGCAGGTGTATAAAAAATGTTTTTTTTAACTTTAAATTCGGTAAACTTCTTTCTTGCTTTGTGAGATTTTTAAATTCGGTAATGCAATGTACAGATAATAAAATATATTGTTATGTTTACTATATATTATTTATGAAGTATTTGTTAAAAAATGATTGTTATTTTTGAACACCATCATTATTACAAATCACACCATCTCTTTTTATTTATCTATGCTTTGCAAACTTTTACTTGTTATTAATTATGTAACTAGGCATTCCAAACAAAATGGCTACCAGTGGGTTTTGACAGGTAATGATATGGCAAAATTATGGCAACCCTGTACGCCTGGTGATTTGACAAAGTTAATAAAATAGATAGTTACATAGATTGATCATCCATATTTTTCAAAATAAACAAGCTTATGCCTTGAAGTAAAAATATAGTTAATTTTTTTTTACTATATTCAAAGGTTTGTAAAATCGATTCTGATTAATGAGCACTTGGGAGGAAATATGGCCGCTCGTAAACGAGCCGCTTTGAGCAATCTATATAACTATATATGTATCATTGACAGGGTCAATGGGTTGCCATATCTAAATGTCAGTTCCCACTTGTCAGCAGTTTGACAGGTCGTTGGAATGCCTAACTGACAACTAGGTTATACGTAAATTAAGGTATTTGAAAGGAAAATAAAACTCCCTTTAAAGGACATTGTGAGATTAACATTGCATTGTGAGAATAACATTGTGATTTAAAGGATGTTTTTTTTCTTATCAAATCAACTTTACTCTCATACGATACGGATTAATAATTTCCAGCCTGACCTATAATAGGCTATATTTTTTTATGTTTTATTCAATGTCATATGCCATTAGTTTCTCTGTGAAATATTGTTTGTGACCAGTGGTTTGTTTGTATTTAACAGCCAGCTATACTAAGTTCTAAGTTTTTGATTAAAAACTCGAAGTTGTCATAAAATACATATTATGAATATATTATGGTCCTGAAAATCCATTAAATTGTTTTGAGTGACATTTGATTGAAGTTAGTGGAGATAGCTGAGACTGTGGGGATTTTAAAAGAGCGAACACGTCACATATGCAAAATTTTGGACACGAAAAAGCTCTCCGCAAGATGGGTGCTGTGAATGGTCACTTTGGAGCAAAAATTCATTCGAATGAATATTTCATAAGAGGGTTTGTTGCTATTTAAGAGCAATCCAAAAGTAGTTTTGCAGCTATGAACGATACTTGGGTTCACAATTACCCACCGGAATTAAAGGATGTAGCACGAGTATTGCTATGAGAGCTATCTTCGAAAGGAAGTTGAACAATAACAAACTCTTTGCATCAGTCGGAACATTTGGCTGCATGACTGCTTCATGCAAATCTACCTTTTCGACGTTAACCGTGATGAACAAACATCAGAGAATTACATTGATCTAGTTGCAGAAATTTTCTACCACAGCCCAAGTTGCGTCTACCTGTAAAGTCAGTCATTGTATAGTACATAGGGGGCTGGCCAAAAACAAATTTCACCCACACAAATTAAAAATGGTGCATCAACTTTCAGATGACGATCCCGACCAAAGACTGGAATTCTGTGAAAATATGCCCACTAAAATTGTCCAACAGCCAGACTATGTAAAAATTTTTTTTTAGTAATGAAAGTACTTTCTTCCTTAGTGCAAATGTTAAAACTCAAAATGTGAGGTATTGGAGTACATAAATCCTCACGTTTCATGAAAAAATACATAGTTTCCATCAAAAGTAAATGTCTGGGCAGGTATTTTGGAAAACCACATAGTTGGGCCTGTTTTTCGAAATCTAACTTAACTGGTATATCTGAAGATGTTAGAAAACGCAATTAAATCATTAATTCTTCAAATTCTGGAAGATAATCTAGATGAATTTGGTAACTTGGAAATAACGTTCCAACAAGATGGTGCTCCTGCACACTATTACTTCAGAGTAAGACGTTATCTTGGCCAATAATGACTAGGTGTTAAGGGCATCTCGTTTCTAGTTCTAAAATGATGGATATTTAAATTAAAATTCCTTAAATATCAAACAAATATGTGACAAAATAAATACACAATTTATTACGATAGGTACGTATATGAGTATATTAACCTAAACCTAAAAAAATAACAATAATTTATAACATTTTAACATTATTAATACTTATGATTTATTTTTATTAATGTGATAGAACGTCAACATAATTAGCTGGGTAAAGACCCACGCGACCATCTTTCCTTCCTTTACACCAACCCTGTTCATCTTCATCTTCCAATTTCTCGAAAACGTCACCTAAAACAAAATAAGTACATCTATGAAAAAGATCATCATGGTTTGAGGGATCTTAATTTCTAATATCCCACAAAAAAATAAAAGCTTGTAAAATGATTAAATATATAATTCAAAAAGGGACATGTATTTATAAAAGGTAAAATGTTATAATGTCCATAATAAAATATAAATATCTGATACTTGGCAACCGAGGTTGCCAATGAGATGAGCTTAATATTTTGTCTAACCAGGCAATAGAAGGTTATCAAAGGGTGACGGGTATTTGTTTCATGTGGCACAATACAAGTGTTTTGAAGATACTACAAGAAAAGATAAAACTCAAAATATCTATGCATTAAACCGATTACAGTAACTTTAAAATGAAATTATACTTGATTAAATATACGTTTAACCAGACGAATTTATCTTAAAAATCACTTAACATTTATTATGATCGTTTTCGGTTCATGAGTGATCTTTGCTAATCTTTTTGGTCGAAAGTTTGTAAGAAGTTTCCCAGGGCTACTAAATTCTAATTATGTAGTGTAAAACATTAGAAAGTTAATGTTAACACCACGTTAAGGTAAAGTTGGTGTATACTGCAATTAATGTAGTACAAGAGTGATTCTTTAATCCACACTTATTACAAATTCGAACAATTTAGTGCAACATTTCCCAAGTTGAACAATATGACAGTTATGCTGTGGAATGTGAAGTATGCTAATGCCAATTTCTTTTCTAGGTCGTCTTATTAGGAATTTAGAATTATCCACTTATCATAGGTTCGCGGGAAGGCGTTGCCTAATGTGAGTGGTGGTATAATATTTTAGTGAACCCTTTGTGTCAATTTTCTATACCTCGACTTACTTTTTGATTATTTTTTGGCAATTGTAAGCAAGTGATGATTTAAGTTTAAAGTAAATATTGTTTTTGTAATTGATATGTTCCAAAATGAAATATCAAAAGCAAGATCGGCTCCTCTAAAAAAAAGGACACAAAAAATATACTAAACAAACATTTTTAATAAATATTCAATGAGAAAATAAGTAAAAATTCTCCTTTCACAAAAATTGTCTGTGTGATCGATTGGCATCGTCTTCAGATTTAAATGAATTATTATTCAAAATATGTGCGTTTCTTCCAAATCCATTTTAAATAAAAGAATAAATAGCAAGTTTGAAGTTTTAAGAAGAAAATAAAAATATTACTTGTTTATAGTTCAAGTATTAACTAAAGTGCTTCAAAAGTGACGTTTTGATTGCACATGACGACGGACACAGTAACGTTAATTTTTGGTTCATATACTGAATTATTTAGCTAAAGCTGAAGATTCCAATTGACCACATAGACAATTTTTGTGGAAAGAGGATATACTTTTGAATTTTATGATGAAATATTTATTAAAAATTTGTAGTTAATATATTTTCCATTAAGTTATTTTAGGTCTTCGAATAATATATTCCTAAACTATTCAAATGTTGAAGCAAATATTCTATCTCATCTATAAAAAAAGTGTTTATGCCTAGTAGGCAACTATTATATTAATTCATTATTCTTTTAATTGTTCTTGTGTATAATTTTTATTGTCTAAATGTTTTTATGAAATCTGTTAATCTTTTTGTTTATATTGGTTTGTTTGTCAACATATATTATATATATGGAATTAAAATTGAGATAGGTAGGTGCATCCTTATTTTTTTCAGTTTTTTTTTTTTTTTTTTTTTTTCAGGATACTTATACTTATTTCTTTCCTTTTTCTCCTTTATTATTAGTATTAAGCACTATTTCATTTATATTCTATACTCTTTACCTTATTCTGTAAATGGGGAAATCCTGTAAGATATAGTTAAATAAATAAATAAACTAAGCAGGTGAAATTAGTTAAATAATAATTCTGTAAAACATTAAATAATATTAGAGATTAAAAAACCTAATATTTATTTACATTTTGTCTATTACTTTCAAGATTGTATTCATCTAAAAGAATATCACTGCAATAATACAATTAAAATAATTTAGTTTAGAATCTTTAAATAATTTTTTTACGTTATGTCTATAAAAAAAATTGATGTCAAAATCGGTGAGAAAATGGTTTGTTATTATTTGGCTCATACTAATGCGATGAAGTGATAAACACAATAGATGCCCCTATGTTTCAAGTGCGATTAGTAAGTAAGGCTACATCAGGTTGCTAGACTCTTACTGTTATTAAATAGTTGTTACAATGTAGTAATTTTGAAATTCGCGTTATATTTAGACGAATTACTACATGTTATTATAAAAAGAAATAAACTAATAGAATACATCACATTAAAAAAAATATACATCTTTAAGTCTAGAAAAATTATAGTAAACAAACTTGATATGTAAAGTGTTTTCCATGTAAATACTTCATCACATGTAAAATGCTATTTACTGCTCTTATTATTATGTATTATTATGTACCTGTTTTAAAGCTAAGCTCGTCATTTTCTGCTCCATCATAATCATATAAAGCTTTAACAGGTACGCCAGGTTCTCCATGATCTACTAATGCATCATTTTCATCCCAATCGTCTTCATCAAATGGATTTGATTCATTAACTTTGTTTGTTGAACCATTTCTGAAATAATAAAATGACGATATTTGTATATTGCGTAATAAGTGTTGTAAAAATCATATTACGCATTAATTGAAAAATCCATGAGTGTGTAATTGATTTACAACACGCATTACGTACTATACTTTATCTACGAGCACTTACAGAGGTAAATATGCTTGTAAATATTTGTATAATATATTTTGTGCGTTTTGTTTATTGTGGGTTTTGTTTACCATACGATTTATTTACTATGCACAATGAGCTATTTACTGAGCCTGTGGGTCGTGTTTTCTCTGCTTTTCATAGTAGTCATAATTAATTAATAGCCATATTTATAAACAACCCATACAAATTCTTAAGGGGTATTCCCACCCCTGTTCATAAGCAGAGATAGAATTAAATTTTAATTCGTACCGACATTTGTTTTTATTAGTTGATTTAAGCCAAACTAAACTGCAAAGTTTACAAAGTTAAGGAAGATAAAGTCGGTGCTGAATTAAAATTTTTACATACACTTTTTGAATTTAAATAAAACAATCATTGGTATATAATTTTTCCTTTCCCTTTTTTTTAATCAAAGTAAAGGAAAACATTTAAATGAAAATTTAGCAAAATCAGGCAAACTTGTTATGCATTATATCATCCATGTCAGGGTTTGGCAACCTTTTTAGGACCGTCAGCCACTTTCAAAAGATATATATTTACGATCTTTCAAAAAAAAATTTAGTGGCCATTTTATTAAAATTTTATAAAATAATAATAGAAAAGGAGTGACATCGCCTTTACATTTTATGACCGCTTGAATTCGTTTGGGCATTGAAAGAGGAAATCCATTCCAAATCTATTCTATTTTGCGTTTTAAGTTCAGGTAATGTCCGTATTGGCTTGTTCTTTAATATCGGTTTCCTTTTACGCCATACTGTTTCAATGACATTAAGGCCAGGACTGTTGGAAGGTGAAGAAAGAACAGTTACCTCGTGGTCACCAATTTTTTTGTGGTTTTAGACGCCTGACAGTCTGCCCTATCCTGCTGCAAAATGTAATTTTCGCCAAGATTTAATGTTAGCGGTATGTTTCACAGCATTCAAAATACCATCAATAATTTCAAAAAAAGCCTAATCCTGAAGCTGAAATATATATAGTCGTCGCAATATTTAGTTAGGACTAGGGCTGGGCGATTATTCAAAATAATCGAAATAATCGATATAATCAATTAATCGAAATATTCAATTAATCGAAATAATCAATTAATTGAATATAACCGATTAATCGAAAATAACTGATTAATCGAAAATGATTGGTTAATCGAAAATAATCGATTAAAAAAATTGATTAATCGATTATCGACTATTTTGCCCACTCCTAGTTAGGACCAATAATTTTTGGTAATTTATTAAGTCGGTATCAGTTCAATTATCATCGGTTAACCTCTTGTCCTGTAGCGATAATCAGCATACAGATGTGTGTAAGTATAAAAAATAATAATTCCAGCCAGCAGGAAAAAATTTCGTCTTTAGAGGGTTAATATAATTCGTTATTACTTGGGAGACCACACAAAAACTAATGGCGGGCCGCTGGTTGCCGACACCTGATCTATGTAAATACTTGATTGCTGAATTGTACAGGGAAATTTTAAAAGATGAACTTGTAATGAGACGGTACATTGACATTTAAGTTTATTCATTTATTCTTTTCAAACTTCAATTCAGTGTTTATTTTTTAATATTTACAAGAATATTAACTCAAGTCTTGCTTCGTACCATATTGTACCAATACTACCTTACAAGCGAAAGACGCCAAATAAAAAAATAATTACAGTGCTTTTAAATGTAAACCGAATCCATGGTTTGAAGCAGTAAGAAAACCATATGAAAACACATCTCATTTTTGTTGTAAGTGCCATTTTGATGTAAGTAATTGCCTATTAAATATAAACATAAAATATTTCATTTCAAAAGTTCAAAAGATATGGAGAATTATTCGAAACTTGAATTAGTTGAAGGAAATTGAATACTAACAAACAAGGTGTTGCCAACCTTATATACTTCATTAGGTTGAATCATATTCATCAAAAAGGACCAAATTGGATGATACTGTAGACTTCTGCAACCCATAAATTTGATGTTGGAACCGATGAGTTAAAACATTGTCATATTTAAAACCTCATGCACTTAGTTATTACTAGTATAACTAGCTTACAATTTGCAGTCACAATTAATTAAAAATAATTATGTAAATATGCAGCCATGCAATAAATAAAAGATTTTTAAATATATTTATAAATTGTTTAAATGTGCTTTGATACATAATTTGATTATATTAGGAAGCGTCCTACTTTAATGAAAAATAATGAAAACTTACGTTATTGTGGACATTCTATTGGGACTATCGTTTTCTTCTTCATTTGTTTTGAGATGTTTTTCTTGAGGAGGCGGTACTGGATTTTGTTGTTTATTTGGTACTTGTTTCTTAATTGATTGCTGAGTGGAAGATTGATCCTAAAATAAGTATTTATGGATTCCTATTTATTTGTTGTTCGTAGCTCTTTAAATCTGGATAAACTATGAACATTTTAACACTATGTATGTACATATTCAGAATTAATATGCTAGGTCACATTTTTTATAATTTAATGCCGTAAGAGGGAAAGCCCACTCACGCGACACGTATGTAAAAGGCGCATATAATTTATTATATAAGGATTTACGTCAACACGAAGATAGGTTCTTCAAATATTGCAGAATGCTAGCGCAGATTCCCGAACAAATATTTTTGTCGCTATTTTATTTTAATTAACTGTTCAATATTTGAGATCGGTCTTGAATATCGGATACAAATTCATCTATATCAGTACAACTGTTGGACATTTTTTTACTGGAACTGTCGAAAAGTTAACAGGAAACTCCAACTCTCAACTGGAGTTTCCATATGTATCCATGATAACGCTGGCAGCGTGCGGCAGGAAAATCGCGGGTTTGTCTTTCCAATTTTTAGCCGCGTGCGACCACGCGACAGAACCGCGTTAATGGGCTTTGAGTCATTTAAAAACATCTAAAGTATTGCCGCACGCGATGCCTCGCGATCAGTCGCGCGCGACGTGTCGCATGAGTGGGCTTTCCCTCTTACTCAGTATTCGCGAGTCTGCCCGCCAGTTGTTACCCAAATTTAATAGGAAAAGAATTTAAATTCAACTTTCTTGATAATAATGTGTACTTATTAGTCCCTCATCTGATTGAAAAAAGTGGCGGATCGTGTTTTTTGCTTGCTATTTGTAGTTGGGTAAAGGGGAGGGGGTGAACAATATGTACTATGTCTCGGTGGTGGGAGCTGTCGTGTGACCTATCAAATTCAAAGTAAAGTTGCTTATCCATAGAATTTTATTTTTTTGCTGACGAAATATATGCTTCTAGTCGTCAATAACAAGCATTTTCTGTCGTCCGGTTTTACTACTTCCGGTGTAGGAATTTCAGACACGACCGAATATTTACCTTTTTTAACGAAATTAGAGATGTAGCTTGAAAGCGTTTTTCTGAATCTAAGATGATATTGCAAACATTTTTTTTTGTGTCGGCAAAAAGTTGATATGCAAAAAAAAACTGCAACTTGACGAAAAGTGACATGTTTTTTAAATTTATAATGAGAAGTGGAATAAACTAGTTATTAAAATATTGTGCCATCACCGCCCACAATTGCTTGTATTGTAACGTGGTCGTTGAAAGCAAATATACATGTGTATTGTTGTTACGTGTTCACTTTTAAATTCGCGCATTCGATGGTCCGGCAACTACGTTTTTTTCGAATACTTTCGATGATACACGATGCATTGAACAAACCTATAGAGAGTCAATTATCCTTGATTGATATCAATATCCTTTAAAATAATCTTATTAAATAACAATTATAGCCAGGGACACAAGTTGGATAGGCGTTAGGTAGGTAGAGAGATCGTAAACGTCAAACCCAGTCAGAGGATTTCGAGATAATGTTTGTTCGCCATTGTCGTATCATAGAATAAAAATAATACAAAACATCTATTTATGGGCTACAAATATTAAACAGATAAAAATATATCAAATCCTAATTCTACAAAATTTCAACAGCTATTCTCGATTTATTAAACTATTTACGCGAAATTGTTATTAGCATCTATAAAATAATTTTCTAGTCCAATGTTTTTCGTTGACTTTGGTTAGCTCGGCGGCACAAATCTGTCAAATCCTGTTTATGAGGTAGGAGATCTGGCAAAACCCTTTCCAACTTCTGTCCCTGCTTTAAAACACTAAATTGGTACCACATAAATTAAATAACATATTTATTCTAAATGCAACTAGTTTCGACCTTATTCGGTAGTCATCTGGCCTACAATACAAGAACAAGAAAAAATATATTAATACATTTCTTGGAAAGTTGAACTATTATATTTACAAAAATCAAAAGAGGATAAATAGGTGGACAGAAAACATATCTGCTCTATTCAATAAATATATTGTTTTAAATCTAGTGGAATGTAATCAATCAGAAATAGATAGCAGGAAATTTCTGATATTTTCTTCTATTTCTGATGGATGACATTCCACTAGATTAAAACAGGGGGTGTGATAAGATCGAAACTAGTTGCATTTAAAATAAAAATTTGTCATTAAATTTATGCGGTAACGATTTAGTGTTTTAATCGTTTACTCTTCTGAATACATTGACCGCATTTGGGAAATGGATAATCTATTCTAATTATTAAAGTAATTATACAAACTGAAGTGAAACTGTGGAAGAAAACAGGTTACTTAGCGTTTCTATCGTTCATTTTTTATCAACGTATTTTCATAAACATCAACTGAACTGTTGTGAAAAGCGACAATGTCAAAATTTATTATTAAATGTTGATGATATTTAACTGTCATAGTAGTTAAAAAAGATGTGAACAGCATAGATGTAATTTCGTTTAATGACATATAAATCAATAAGTTATCTATGCCTTCGATTAGATATAATGAACTTGTTTAAAAACTAAAGTCGAAATTAATTCTTTTAACCTAATATAGAATGTTACTAGCCCTTTCAGTACCGGATAAACACGCAAAAAATAAATGGTTCTGTAAGACTGAAGCCGTATATATCCGCAACCACAGATATATGGTTATGGACTGCAACTAGACGAATACGGTTAATTAATAATCTATTTAGACTTAGAAATATGTTATAAAGCAGGGACATAAGTTGGAGAGGCTTTTGGTAGGTAGAAAGGAGGTATTTTGAAAGATTCCACATAGTACTCAAGTTTTAGTTATATAGTTTTTTTCTTGGAGTGACATTTTTGTTTTTATAAGTATTAAATATAATTTCCAATAGTTTTGGTAATTCTGGCAAGTAGACAATTTCGTTTACAAATGTATTTTATTATTTTTCAATTGTATAAAAAATTGTTTTTTAATTTGTTCGTTTTCAAAATAAAATATATTTTGTTAAAAAATATTAGATAAATAAAACAAAACAATGTGTTTAGATGAACTTATAAGTTGCGGGGTTTGAAATCGGAACCGTACGAATCCGCGAATCAGTTGCGGTCTGATGGGTACGTCAGTGCGATCGGAAGTGGTCTTGAAATTTTTGCGGATTTTTGCTCGATTTCGGTGTTTTAAACCGATAGTGGTTTCTTCAGGTCCGATATATTTAATGAATATAGTTTTAATGCACTAATACTTATTTTTGCGTTTAAGAATATATGTATATAGAGTAAATATGCATTGTAAACTTTGAAGAAACCGCAAATAAGAATGCTATAAATTCAATCTGGGCACACATATAAAAAAAGATCTTAATTTTTGGCGACCACAACAATCGCGTTGGTTTATGGAAACACCCATATTACTCGATTGAAAATTCATTAAAAACAAACTGAAAAAAAAAAACACACTACAATCTGCATTTTGATGGATTTTACATTTCTTCCTTTATGTAGCATAAACTAATCGTCCTAGGAATTAACTAAATATATTTCAACAAAGCTTTTAATTGAAATTTGCCAGTATTTTGTTAAGTATGAACAGTATAAATTCCAGTTTACCTAAATTATGTAATTGAAATTGGTAAAAAAATGTATACATTAAGTATGGAACACAGAATTGAAAATTCTCTGATTAAAAATAAGACGATTAAACGAAATATGGGGTGTTCAAGCTAAAATTTTACAAATTATTAATGGCTTTAATTTTTTTATTTTTCAGTATACTTTAATAAATTTGGCAAACATTTTTGGTGCCAACACTTATTAGCAAAAATAATCAGTTTAATAAACTTTGTTCAAAAACTTATTTAGACTATAAATTTTAAATTTTTTGATATTTTTTAAATAAATCATGTACTATGGTTGGGAACTCATTGGATAATTGGTTTTCGAGAAATTCACGCTAAAAGGTTAATATTCTTAATTTTAATTTAATTTTGTGATTTTGGATTTTTTTATATATCCCAATAAAAGTACATGATTTCTTTAAAAAACATAAAAAACAAAATTATATTACAAATATAAGTTTTTGGAGTAACGTAAAATTTAAAAGGGATGAATGTGTTACTCATGTCATACCCCACCGCCATTTTGCAAAAGTTTTTACTCCCAAAACTGATATACCTGACCCTGAAATAGAAAGGAATTTATTCGAAATTCCTCCCAATTTGCCAGTAATCAATCACTAATTATTGTTAACGAAGTCCAACAGGAAATTAATTACTTAAATCCTAGAAAAGCTCCTGGAATAGATAAAGTAACTCCAAAAATGATAAAGGAGCTATCAAGAAAAGGTATAGTACATTACACCTACATATTCAATGCTATTTTACATGTAAAATCACGGCTAAACTCCTAAACACTGCAGAAATAATAATGATCCCGAAATAAAGCACAAATCTAAACATTGTCTCTTCATATCGAATGATAAGCTTACTGCCAATCCTGTCGAAGGTCCTAGAAAAATTACTACTACAAAAAATAAACTCAAACCCAAATACTGAGGAATGGATACCACTTCAGCAGTTTGGGTTCAGGAAGAAACATTCAACTATACAGCAAATCCACACAATAAGTCACACAATAATCCGGGCATTAGAAAACAAAAAATACTACATATCTGTATTTTTAGATGTTAGCCAAGCATTTGACAGGGTGTGGTATACAGACTTACTATATAAAATTAAAAAAACTGCCTTCCAATCACGCATTTTAAACATAAAATCTTACCTAAGTGATAGAGAGTTTAGAACAAAAATGAATGAAAGTACTTCTGATAATCATCCAATAAAAGCAGGCGTACCACAGGGGAGCATCATTACTAATTACTATATGTGTTACACACAGCGGATCTACCAGCAAATGACGAAACCGTTAAGGGCACCTTCACCGACGATACAGTTATACTAGCAAGCAGTGAAAATCCAGTTGTAGCTTCCATGATTCTGCAGACACACTTGAATGATATTCAAACATAGCTGAGCAAATGGAAAATCAAGACTTTCACTCTAAAAAAAGAACATTGCCCTCCTGTTTATCTGAGCAACATACAAATACTACAAGCTACAAACACAAAATAACTAGACAGGCACCTACAAGGCTCACATAGAAAGACCATATAATTATAAAACTCGAAAACAAATGAGCTAAAAATAAAAGTTTAACATTGGTTAATTGGTAAAAAATCCAAACTGACACTTGAAAAAGCTATAAAACAATAATCAAGCCCATCTGGATGTATGGCATCGAGCTCTGGGATTGTGCAAACAAATCAAAGATAGCCATTATCCAGAGAAGTCAGTCCAAAATAATGCACATGATAGCTGATGCACCATGGTATGTGCCAAAGCTAACCCTACATGAAGATCTAAAAGTTAGTTTCGATCAAGAAGTCATAATGGAATGAAGTTGGAACTACCATAAACAGTCGCTTAACCATGAAAACAGGTTACTCCATCCACTTTTAGAACCTCAAGAGGGAAGAAAACTGAAAAGAAATTGGCCAACAGAGCTACCAAATGGTTAAAGAACTGGAAAGAACTCATCACGTCATAGTTCATAACTCATATGCTCTAAAGCCATCCCATTAGTTTATAGCTGTATATGTTTTGATCGTATGTATCTTATGACACCAAAAACATTTGCTCAGTATAATTTTATTAAAAAATCCAGAAATACAAAATTAAAAAATAAATTAAAATTAAAAATATCCTTCGAGTGTGAATATATGAAAAATCAATCACTTTATTAATTTCCAATGAGAGGACATGATTTATTTAAAAAACAAAAAATGTCAAAATATGGTCCAAATAAGTTTTTGGACAGTGGCGTAGAATTTAGAGGAGATGAAGGTGTTACTAATCCATGCCGTACGCCACTGGAAAAGTTTATTTAACTGATTGTTTTGCTGATAGGTGTATCTTATGACACAAAAAATGTTAATCAAATTTAGTAAAATTATATGGAGAAATAAAAAAGATATATCCATTAATAATTTTTCAATCTTCAACACCCATATTTCGGAAACCAGTAATATTTTATCTAAGCGTGTTTCGTTTAATCATGTTATTTTTAATAAGATAATATTCAGTTGTTCTGTGTCCCATTCTTAATGAGACATCCTATCTACTTCTAATGATTTGTATTTTATCCAAAATATTGGCTACTTCAGATTAGAAATTATGGCTTATCTATTACTAAATAAAAATCCTCAAATTTATGTTAGTAAAAAAATAAAACAAACATACATGCAAATCTTCTCCAACTGGACGTTGGTGGATTAAAGTGATTCCTGAAGGAGAAGAGTCTTTAGATTTTCCCTTGTGGATGTCCCGAAACTCCTCAGCATAATCCTAGATGAAATAAAATAAAAACAACAAAAATAACTAATCATGCATTGTTATTGTTTGAAAAAAACATATACCTCGAATTGAGGCCAGTTCATGGCCATATTTACTCCATGATTATTTGACCACCATTTTAAATCCTTTTCATAATCTGCATTATTTATCGTGTGATAAAATTCTTCATATATTTGGGTTAATCTATAATTCAAAGATACAAATAAATACCAATTTTCGTTTTTGAAATAGTGCAGTGATTTATCTCTTGCTAGGATCAATTGCTGAATGAATTTTTTACATTTACAATAAAATGTCAAGAAAAATTCAGAGAATTATATTTAGCTACAGTATTTATATGGAAAATGGAATAAGATATGGACGTGTAGTTTTCGCTAAACTTCTTACATTTTATTATTATTGTTATTATTATTATTATTATTATTATTATTATTATTTATGACAGGATTAATTACAGTAATAACATGATTAATTACAACAATAAACAAATTATAAATTATCATAGGTAAATAAGTTAGCACCTAGGTGTGGGCACCTGTATGTGCTAGACAGACTAAGAAACTAATACATAAAGATTAAAAAACTAAAATATAAAGTTAATGTATTTTTATATAAATGTTAAATGTAATAAGGCAGCAATGTTATATTATATAATATGTAATAATGTTATAATCTTGTAATCTACAGGGTTCCAACAAATTACAGTGAGATGTGTGTTATTCTAAGAAGAATCTATACAATTTTGAGTAGTTTTGGTAGATGAAGGATTTGCACGCTTTCTTAAATGTTTTATAGATGGGGGTTATAATGGATTTTTTAAAATGTTTCGGTACAATCCCAGTACAGAATATTGTATTAATTATATGTTTTAAGGGAGTTACAATGAACGGATGTATTAGTTTTAAGTGTTTTACTGATACACAATCAAATCCAGGGGTACTTTTGTTCTTTAGGCTATTTATATATCTAATTGTATCATTGTCACAAATAGGTTTTAAAAATATTGACTTAGTTATCATCGTTTGTACAGGGTAATTTATTTTACAATCACGAATGGTTTCATACATTTTTGTAACAATTAACAATTACAATAGTTCGTCATTTCTTTGTCAGTATTGAAATCTTTATTCCCATCAACAATTACCAAGTGGTTTTGACTTTTTTTACAGCTGTCATTTGTAGCTTCTGAAATTATCTGGTAGGTTTTTTTAAAGTTATTCTAATGTTTATTTATTTCATTTTTATAGTAATCATTTTTTGTTTTCAATATTAATTTATTTAAATTGTTTCTAAAAATTTTATATTCATTTTTATATTAATGGAGTGCTTTTTTTTGTAATTGCTTTTTTAGTTAATCTCTGTTTTTGATGGAATTGATTAAGCCATTTGTTATCCAAGGTTTTATCTTTTTATGATTTTTTTGTTTAATTTTTTTTTACAATTTTACATGATTCAATACTATTGAGATATTTGTCATAGAACTTTTGAGTTGCTATTTCAGTGTTATTTTCATTGAGAACACTTTCCCATGTTAAAGCTTCAAATTTACAAATTAGTTTGTCAGTATCAATTTTAGTTATAGTTGTATAGGTAGTTAGAGATTTTGTTTTATTTATTGAAAGAGGTTTTGAAATATTTATCATAACCGGATCATGATCGGTTAAATCGTAGTTTATCACATATGAGTTGAATTTTAATTTTTCGGTTTTAATATTGTTTCTTGAAAATATGTGATCCAAACAGGTTTTACTCTGAGCCCGTGTGATTGTATTTATATAAGACAAGAAGCCATTTGAGTGAAGAGTTGCTTCGTAGTTATTTGTGATATGATTTTTTCCGTCCAGGAGATCGATATTAATGTCTCCTATAAACATTTCAATACTTTTGTTTAGGTGAGTGGGGATGTAATTTTCTGTCTCGAATAAATGTATCTGCCGAAGTTTGAGGAGACCTATATAAAGCACTAATGCCAATAGTTGTATGATTTGCTGTTATGTTTATTTTAGTAATACAAATGCCTGAAAGTTCGAGCTTTATTGTGTTTATTTCTGCATTTAATTTTGATTTGACTAAAACTATGACACCATCATTTCTATTAATATTACTGTTGTTGTAGTGTATGTTGCAACCCTGTAGATTAAACTGTGAGGTAGATTCTAATTGAAAACATTCGGATAATATAATTACGTCACAAAATTTTATATCATAACTTTCTAGGAATAAGATCAACTCATCAAAATTCTTTTTAATACTTCTGATGTTGAGATGCATGACATTAAGGAGTTTTTCATTTAAATTAATTTTACTTGTTATATTTGGAGCATCAATAATTTCATTATTAGTATCGATTTTTATAGAGTCTAATAAATCGTTTTCAGTTACAATTAACATTGAGAGCCGGAATAATTTATTTTATTTCTTAAAATTTGCTGGTGATACTTCAAAGTTGGACGCTCACGGTTGTTGTTTTCATGGTCAGTGGCGTGTGGTGTATTATATTTTCTATTTGTCTGTTCACAATTTTTACAAAAATTTTTTAATTTCTTGCACATATTTTCTTAATGTTCTTCAGAACATATGGGACACACTATTTTATTTTGACAGTTAATTTTTTTATGGTAGTATTCTTGGCAGTTGAAACATTTTGGTATATTTATGTCTTCATAAACCATGTATCTTTCCCATCCTAGACATACTTTCTTCATATTTATTATTTTGTGGAATGCTGTTAGTGAGCACTCACAGAAAACTGTTTGGGAGTTATTTGTATTTCTTTTTATAAATGTCACTTTGATTTCATCAATTATGTGGTTTTGATCTCTCAAGTAGTTTTCAATTTCCGTTTCTGTATATTCTTGGGTAACATTAACAATTTTTATTTTTGGATTTTTTAATTTGCTTATTTCGATGTCATAGTCGTCATTTAAGTTATCCTCTAATGCTTGTCTTAGGATGTCCAGTTCATTTTGATTTTGACAATTGATTACTGTAGTACCATGTTGTGTTGTTTTCATGTTGGTAATGCCAATTTTAAGTTTAGTTGGATTAATCTTAGCATCTATATCTTTTTTGGTTTTGATGGGTGGTTGTTGTTTTGGCTTTATGCTTATCTTCGGAATATTAGTTTTTTTTGGGTTGTTAATTGAATTAAATTTATCTTGTTTTAGGACATTGCTGTAGCTTAGGGTGTTCGTTTTTTCTTTTTCTAAGTAATTTATTTTTTCTGTCAACAACTTGATTATCATTTCCTGATCATTTATAATTTTCTCCTTATCCGCTATTGTGCTTTGTAAGATACTCATAAACTCAAAATTTCTGCATTTCTTGCAATGATACTTTAGTGACCTTTTCTGCAGTGGAATGCACCTAACTTCTGTGGTGCTTAATTCGCTACATTCAACACAAATAATGTCTATGCATAAATCGCAAGGAAAACAGGGACATTTTACATCCTTTGTTGGTTGTTTGATAGATTTACAAATTGAACATTCCATATTAAAATCTTTTTCATTGTCCGTTTATGACCCCTAATCTCTCCTGCACTGGTGAGTAGATAAATATTCAGTTTATTAGGTTTTTTGTGAATAGATAAAAACAGGTGTTGTAGATAAGGAAACTAGTTACCAGCAAAAAAAGGTTCATCCAACTGAATAATTCACACTTAAATGCACATTCTAGCTGCACTAAAACACCAGAAGTTGATAAGAACTTATTAACATATAGGTGGCACTTAGGACCCCACACAGCGTTAAAATCACAGTTTGAGAGTTATTTTTTTAGCTTAAATTCTCATTAATTTTAGGAGCGTTTAAAAACACGTCACAAGTTTCTTGTGTATACTTATTAGCTTATTGCTTCCAAGTTTTTGTTGACATAGTTGACAACAGTATATTTGACGAAAAAAAAATGTTTTTTTTTACATTGTCGATTAATACATTTGAGTGAGTTTGTTCTTGATCGGCTTCACATAAATAATTTGTCGTTTCTTAACGTCAGTTATATTTTTTCAAAGCCACCTTGATAAAACGGTGTCTAATATGTCAGGCGGCTTTGAAAAAAAAAACAGTTGATTACAAGATTATCAGATCATTTTTATTTGAAGTAAACCAGAAAATACGCCCCTAAAAATTTATAAAAAATGAATAAACTTTAACAGAAAATTGCAACAATTTTACAATTACATGTTTTTGATGTAATTCATTAAAAAATATCGCTCCCAAATCTTTAATAAATATTCACAATGTTAACATTTTTGGAAACGGCTACTTCGACCGGCGATAATGAAAACATAGAGTAGAACCGGACTGGTCTAAAATGGCTCGCACGACACAATTATTGAATTTTTAACTTTCATTTTTTGTCACGAGCTCTCGGATTATTACACCGTGTTCTCGTGATGTCTGATGTAAAATGGGCAGTTAAATTTGTTTCTTTCATAGCTTATAAGCGTTCGACCATGATTGTATAAAAAATCTGAACGTAATAAATGTAACAAGTTTGGAATGAAGCTTTGCGCATTTTTTCAATTTTCCAAAATATAACAATTCAAATTAAAAATAAAAAAATCAATCTTGTTATTACAATTATTTATACTTACGTAGGATCTTGGGACAAATTAAGGTACTTATGCATTTCGAATAAAGTTGCTTTAATAAAATTGAGTCGCTGAGCTTCCATTTCTTGGCATTTATCGAATACAACTGTCATGTCTTCCATATATTTCGGATTGTATTGATTTATTTCCTGAAGAGCTAATTCGTATTTTTCTCGACATTTCTGAACTTCTTCTTTTGATTTTTGAACTCTATCTTGCATTTTTTTCACCTATGTGACATAAAAATAGAATGAAATCAGATTTTATTTTCGACACAACAACTCTAATACAGTGTGCACGGAAATGTTGGAATAAATTCGATAAAATATGTATAACGCTGGGACAGGTCGATTTTATTTTTTAGATTTGTACATTTTGGTATATACATTTTTTTATGACATCATTCTCAGTTCGAATTATGACGTTATTATCAGTTTTTTAATGAGCTGATGTGAATTGTAATTCAAGACAGCAGTCAATCTGAGTAACGTGTTGAACATGAGGCTGAAAATTTTATACCAGTCGAATAAGGAAATAATGACCTGACCAAGGCTAGTATATCTTAGGGGGTTGTAACCCAGTAAATGGATGAAGATGTCACCGAGGCTATGGGGGAAATAGTATTAATCTTAAATTGGCAACACTTTTCTTATGTTCGTTTGTTGAACACAATTATCGTTTATCCAGAAATAATATTAAAAAAACTTTTTAGGAACTATGTGGTATAAGTGGAATGAACAAGAATGAAGATATTCCAGTTGTAATTTTTGCAGGGAATTTCAAAGTAAGCTTTCACACATTTCCAATTGCGAGTGTTAGACAAAAATTGATCATTTTTGCGGCTTAGGCGGCTGGAGCCTTAAGAAGGGAGCCACAATTTTTTTCTGCATCGTCATCTAAGAGAATTGTGTCATTTTGAAATAAACCAAAATAACACAAAATTGAAAGTGTATTATGCTATGTGTCGAACGTTTCCGAGGTTTCCGCGATTTTTAATGTCGTCTAGTAAAGATATTATCAATAGGGACAGCGACTCTTTAAGGCCGCATGGCAGCGCGCCCCTCCTCAAAAATATCAGAGATGCCAGATAATAAAATCCTAATTAAAAATATTATTTGCTTGTTTTATAATTATGTTCCCTCTAAATCCTAATCCTAACAATTTATGAGCTCTTTGACTGGACTATCACGGCCACAACAAGATATAGGCCCGCGTCACCATGGAAACGGAAAAACAATATAAATACGTCGATTTTCATGTTTGTTTTTTAGAATAATTATTTTTGTAAGACGTTTTACTATAAGAAATATATTTCATTTTCTTTGTTGACTATTGACAAGGCGCAGTGTGCAGTGTGGTATTTTATTTATATTAAGGAAAAAATAAAAATAAATAAACACATTTTCCATAATATTCACCCTCAAGCCAAATGGCGGCCCCCACCTTCGTAGCTCACAAGCCGTCACTAATTTTCATGATGATATTTCTTTAACAATTTTTTTTTGTATTAGAAAAGCGAGATTTAAATGTTTACTATTATAAGGTGTAGAAACATGAAACAAAAAGCATCTTTGATGTTTTATAATCCATTGGTTTAAGAATGACAACATTTGTTCCTAGAGAAAATATTTAAAAAAAAGTGATTAATTTTAATACTGATATTGATAACAATATTATTTAATATAAATAATAATATGAATAATTTAGTACGAGATACTGTGACGAAGTCACTAAATTTTATTTTTAATTAATTGTAAAAATGTATATTTTAATTAACTTCCGCCTGGAAACGTTTCCTAGAAATTCCCAGTTTTGAATATTTGCGAGAACCCTCGTAGTTTAAAATATTTTAGTATGTACCGAAATTCAAACTCGGATTTGAACAGTCAATTTCTGGTAAATTATCTAGGTCTATTTGGCAAGGTATCGAAAAAACTACTACTACTTGTAAAAAATGAACTGGAGGTGGTTTACCCACTCCGAAATTGCGCGGACACCGAGCTCGCCTACTGGGAAGGCATAGCTGTCTGAATTAGGGCGTGGTTCAAAGCCCACTTGCACTGAAGCTCTAGGCTTATTGCACCCCTCACAGTTTCTATCCTATCAGATTGATTTTCTTGATGAATTCAAGAATATAACTGATGGGCGCTTTCGCGATTTGTTCAGGTTCCGGATATTGTACCCCGAAGTACCATTCCCTTTCCCATTTAAGGTTCCGACAGTGGCGTAGTACGTGAATAGGAGTTTCGTCCTCCTCACATATTCTATATAGGGAAGTCATCAGATATCCCTAAGAGATTTAGGTGTCTTCTAAGGCCGCAGTGTCCCGTAAGGAGTCCTATTACGGCATTAAGTTCGCTTCTGCTAATGTTTAGCAGTTGATTTTGTCTGCTCGTGGATGGCCCCTCTATGAATCTTTTGGACTGTCTAAGTCCAGGAAGTTCCAACCAGAGCCTATGGTGTTTTCTATTTATTTGTTCCTTTAATACCCATTTAACATGTTGGTATGAGATACCACATGTGAGTTCTGGTCCAATAAGAGTTTTTCCGCTCCCTTCCTTGCTAGGAGGTCTGCTTTCTCGTTTCCAAACACGCCTGGACATCGAGCTCGTCTACTGGAAAGGCATAAATACGAAGGGAAAAACAAATTTCTCTTAGCTCCTGCCCTCCGACGTTCTTCAGAGAACAACCGTTGAAGTAGTGTACTAAGTAGTTAGTGAACCGGAACCGTGTAGTTTTCTTCCCTTTTTAAATAAAGGCAGGCTTACTTTTATCATTTGCGATTAAAGATTACTTGCTTTGTTCTCCCCGCTGGTTTTTAATTCAACTAGTACTATTAAAAAGCTAATAAAAATTGTCGTGAATTAACGTTGTCGAACCTCCCTAAGTCGAACTAACTGCAGACATCCCAGTCAGGCTCGATTCAGGGGAATTTCGCCGACACGCCATCCTGTCTAGTACCTATAGTCCGCGAGTGTATCAAAAATTATTGCGAAATAATCCTGTCGAGTCTCCCAAAACCGAACTCTCTGTGGATCTCCTAGATTTGTTTCGAAGAAAAAGACTCGTCAGTACGTAATCCAAAACCCGCTATTTATCGCGATAGACCGTTCCTAGCCTATTCGGAAAAGCCCAAAGCCGGCGTCATAAAAATCTCGCATAGCTGGAGACGTTTTTTCATCGAGGTGAATGATTCATATTTTCTGCTATACAGGGAGCGTCGAAATAAACGTTTAATTTATTCCGAATCGAGTTAATAATTGCCGTTTTAATTAGTTCATATTTTCTAGTTATTATTTAATTATTGTATTTAAACATTTTATTTGATAGAAAAGTTATTTTCCGTATACAGAGAGCGCCGCAATTTCCGTTTCAGTTATTTTATATTTTATTATTTTTTAACAATTGTATTTAAATAATTTATTTGGTAGAAAAATTATTTTATTATATTCCGTTATTTTCTAGTATACAGGGGGTGCTGAAACTAACGTTTCATTTATTCCGAACCGAATTAATAATAATCGCCGTTTTAATTAGTTCATATTTTCTTGTTATTAATTAGTCGGTGCATTTAAACAATTTATTTGATAAGTTTTTCTGTATACAGGGTGCGCCGCAATTTTCGTTTCAGTTATTTTATAGTTTTTTTTTTATTATTTAACAATTGTATTGAAATGATTTATTTGGTAGGAAAATTATTTTCCACTATACCGGGGTGCCGGTACTGTACCCAGAATTACTAGTGTTTATTTTATTTTTGTAAATATATTTTATTAATAATTCCTGTTTCTTTTCTTTGACTACCGACTCTCAACCATTTTATTTCAGAGTACCGTAGGGTACGAGATGAAAGGGAGAATGGTGTTTTTTTATTATAATTTAGTGGCTACCCCGTCAGCGGTGACCACCTGGAGGTATTTTTAACTCTTGAGTACACTCTGGTGTACTTCAAGGTCGCTGAGCAAACTGTGTTAACAAAACTGGCGCCTGAGCAGCCCTTATTCTGATCTCACCACCTCAGCGCCACACAGACTTCCTACTTCACAGTGGGTGGAGCCAATAGCCTGTCACAATACAAGATAAAAACTGGAGCAGATTCTTGCCACTTTCAAGTGTAAATTATTTTTATGTTGAAATGTCTAACTTTTAAAAAATGCGGCATTACTGAAAATAGTCTAAGCAAAACCTTTGGTTTACAAATTTTTATTGCGAATCAAGAACTTAAAAAGTTAAATTGGTTTATTAGCTTGACCAATAACTCCGAATTAAAGTCTAAAAAGCTAAATTTGATTAAAAAAAAAGGAGCCTTAAAGTCTTAAAAATTAAAAACGCAAAATCAAACTATTATAAGTAACAGTACAAAAAATATGATTGCTTCAAATCCCATAAAAGAAACTTGGAAGGTCATCTCACAATCTATGTAGAAATAAATATAAACAACCCATTAAAGAATTACAATGCCAACAGATAATGATAACAAACAATGGTATTATTTATTGCAAATGAATTTGCTGATCATTTTAAAATATATTTATGTGTGAATGTAACTCTTCTTACCCATCTTGAATTTTTATCTAACTTAATAAAAATAGTTCATTTGCACAAAAAATGTGATGAGATTTCGACAACTACAAATAGATTTTTTACTTTCCACCTTTTCTAACTGTTTAGAAAAAGCAACTTATCTAATTACAATGAACTTTCTTGAAATCAATCATCTTTTTCAAGATCTTGTAGTCTAAGAGCTAGAGGCCATTTTGAGTAACGTGATGAACACAAGGTTGAAAATTTGTAGATTTTTAATTTAATACCAGTTGAATAAAAAATAATGACCCGGTAGGAAAACCGCGATGCGACACCTACATTTTAAATTTTTAAAAAGTCAAAAGGGTGGCCGCTTAAAAGTTTCACCCCCTCTTATCTGTGTTACTAATGATTCACTAAATACACCAACTTATTTTATAAGTAATTTATTTGTACTCAAAACTACACTGATTTACTTTAACAATTTATGTTTACTCGACAATATTTATTTCTAAACTGACTAAGTAACTGTAAAAGAAACCACTTATATACAAAAATGTTATGCCCTAGAAAAATCCAGTCCTGTATCGATGCTGTTTCTAGAAGCTTTCGAAACTCTTCCTCTACGACTCAATACGCGTGCAAAAGATTTCCATTAACTTCTCGTAGGGGTCCATTTGTTTCAACCGTCCACCAGTAGCGGAACACAGGCAAGTGGTTTGAACGACGGTAAACAAATATCACGGCCGGACTGGTTAAAAAAATGAATCGCACGACAGTATTTTTTTTATTATTTACATTTCTATAGTTTTCTTTTTTTGTGCCTTTCTGTAAATCTTTTTGGGGAAAAATAAAAATCTATATATTTATCAAATATTTTCATTAAATAATTTACCTAAAAATGACAACTGTTCAAAGTATAATCCAAATTACAGTTTGACTGCATAACTTGTTAAACATTAGAGATAACAATCATAAAAAATATTGTCATGTTATAAAAAGCGAAGTGGGGCATTACATTTTTGCTGGGCTGTTGAAAGAAAGTACTTTGATAGAGTCACTCTTACTGTAGAGTGTAAACTAAGTTTGATTTTCATAACCAATGCCGATTTATAAAGAAAGGAAAGAGTAAATATACATAATACTATTAAAATTTTTTATAAATATATCTCAAACAAATTAAACTAAGAAAAATTCTTGCAAATCGGTTTAGGGTTCATTATATTCTTATAAAAACAAAAAAAAACTGGTCATATCATGGCCCAAAATGCGATGGTGAAATAAATATGTGTATACCAAATATGCAAACCTAAAAAATAATATGGACCTGTCCAAGTATTAATTTTATTGTCTATGAACGATTTTATCGAATTTGTTCCAACCTTTAAATGCACTCTGTATACTACGTTCTTAATATAGGGATAACTGACTTTATACCTGATCAGCCGAAAATGATGTATCTCCTGTCGCATTTCGCTCTTGATTAGCTGCAGATTTTTCTGTTTTACAAGCTGTATGATAGTCAGTTTTACACTTTTCAACTTTTTGTAAGAGTTTTGTCCATGGCTTTTGGGCCTTTTTGAATGTATCGTCCATATCTTTTTTCTCTTTTATGTTCATCACAGACTAAAAAATTAAATTAATTAGGTTTCTTTTAGAAATAGAGAAATTATTTTTTATATATTCCTGGGACGTAAGGGTGCAAGAGGGCGAGTATTTTTTGGTATTTGTTTTTTATTTAAATTATTATTAAATATATTGTTCCATCTACTTGTTTCCTAACGGTTTCTCCAAAAAATCGCATTTTGTACTTGCATGTAAGTCTAGCAAACAATAAACTCAACTGTGTGAACAGTGATACAAAGATCATCATCTATTATCGTTTCTATGTATAATAACGCGGCATTAACGGAGATGTTACAAGTTTGACAAAAGTCAATAAGCAATATGTGATCTCACCATGTATACGTTCGATGAGGGGTGAATCATATTTATAGGATTAAGGCAAATCGATCATGAATATTTTTCTTATCTTAAGATCAGTGATTAAAAAGAAGTTGAATGGAGATATAAGTATATCTCAAACTTTCTATTTTTCTGAGACGTTTGAAAATCAAGAATACAAATACATGCTTCTATTTGGAATGAAAATATGAAACGTGGTGCTCGAAGTGATATGTAGGCAATGTGAGAGATGTAAGCCTGCTGAAGCTTCTGTGTTAGCCTATTTATATATAATATTTACTAGTTTTGTAGTGAACGATTTTTAATTATTGATTTCATTTATTGTTTGTTAGCTATCTGTAAATTAAACATGGCAACGCACAACTTCATTAATCACCTATGTAAAATTATATCGTTAAATCGTTATGATTTGTACAGTGTTACCATAATACTAAAATATCTAATGAGTCCAATATATGACTTTCGAGTAGTTATCAACTAATCAGAAAGTGTTTAGAATATGAGTTGACAAATGCATATTTTATTGGAAATATTTTTTCATATCTCCATTGCTATTATTGCTAACAAAAATATTGAGAAAATTCAATTTTTGCACTTTACCTAGAATTTTAGAATAATCATGTATAAATAACAAAAATTATGGCGAAGACATCACAAATAACTCTTAAATGAAGAAATTTCTTCTTCAATCATAAATAAGAGAAATATATCTTAAAGTAGAAAAACAACACCCTAGTATGTCTTGTATAATATTTTATATGCACCGTGTGAAAGTTCTAATAGGTTTTTACTATATAAATTTAAAACTAGGTTCCAATTATCGATAAATTTAGAATAAAAAACAAAGAAATAGCCAATAGTAACATTTGCATTACCTTATGATAATTAACTTTCTGCCACTGCTTTATTTTATTAATTATATCATTAGCTAAATTATCTCTGATCCGCCAATGAAGATCACATCTTCTATCTGCTTCAACGAGAACTCCCTTCCAAGCTGCTTCTGTGGTACCATACTCGGGTCCTTTTTCAATGGAGTCATTCCATTTTTTTGACCACGCTTTCATTGCTTTAGCATAATTTCTTTCAATCTCTGCCCTTTCATTTACTAATGACATCAGTTCTTGGCAAAGTTTGTAACCATCTTCAATGCGTTTTGTTGTTTTCTTATAATTACCAGGTTCCCAAAATGAATCGCTGGTGGCTATGAGCATGTTGTCATCACTATGATGAGACATTTTTTAATTGGCACACCTAGAAATTAAATATTGGAATAACAATAAAATCACAATTATTAAAACTATTATTTAATGATAAAAATGGTATACAGGTATGGAAAGTTAAACACGGACCCTCTGTTTTACAATCAATTGGACAAAGTATAATATACCACTCCCACTTACGCTCGTCTCTTGTCCCAGTTGTCGTATGCACGATTTTCATTTCAATTAGTCATTAGCTACAAAGCTCACATAGTACTTAGTACCTACTAAATATATAACGAATAAAAATAAAATCAATTACTGTAATTTACAATGAACTGTAACAAAAAGAATAAAAAATAAAGATTTTAATATGATATTTTGGACATTTGAAAACAGACAGTAACTTCGTTACATTTCACACGTGTTCGGATTATTCAAAAATTTGAGAACAGGAGATGTTTACAGAAGTGTCGAAAGTGCAGTAAAGTCCGATGAAGAACCACGTGTAAAACCAGTTAATGTGGAACGTGAAAATAGGGAAATAAATGCCTGTGTCATTGTTGAAACCAGCGAATCTTGTTCTAATACTTATATTGCAGAACAAGTTAATATAAATAAAAAAATTGTTCAGAATATTTTAAAAAGAAATGCCTTTGTTATAAATTTCGAGCAACTCGGGAACTTCTCCAGAGGATAATATTAAGCAGATGGAATTTTGCGAAAATATGATGGAGAAGTGCAATGAAAATCTAGATTTTTAAAACACATTTTATCCAGTGACGGCCCGCCCCGTAACCACAATATTGGGGTTCATAATGACAGAATACAGATTTCAGTACAGATGTAGGTAAAAATGTTCAGTGTTTTAGAAAGGTATAGGTACAGAAAGGTATAATATACCTGAAACACTGAACAATCTTTTGATCACTAGCCTGCACTGATTTTATCTACAGATGAATCGATGTTTTCATTGCATAGGACATAAGTCCCTTTTTTATTGACTTTAATATAAAAAAACCTGATAGTAGGGTGTCACCAATAACAGCATCATTACAACCATCTTTACGTCTAGATAATAACATCTATGAAAACCAGTGTAATAGTAGGCCAGCAGGCTAATAAACCAATGGCCAAGGAATATATGGACCAGTGTTCTGGTAAACCGGTGCACTGTGTCCCCACGAGTGATCTATAGGATGAATCAATGGGTGACCTCTTGGGTGAAATCCTTGAGGTGAACCCTCCGGGTGAACCTTTTTCTCATAAATGGTTCAAATGATAACTTTCTAATATTGCAAAAAGAAGCAGCAACTACACTTGAAGATTCCACTTCAATACTACAAAACTTTAATGCAGATGGACTTCCAATTCTATGTCGACAAAAATCCCTTAAGCGGATGTGAAATGGGTTATAACTACACGATGGAAAATTACCACAAAAAAATTCTTCAATTTCCAAAATTCAAAGACCCGTATTTTCACAATATAATTGAGGGAACATCTAAAAAACCCCTACAAGAGAAGACTCGAAGGTCATATAAATTAAAATTTTTCCTCCAACAATTAAAAGTTGACTTGCTTGTACGAACTTCAAAAGGAACCTGACCAAGAAACTGGTCACGAGTGTGTTCAGAAAATATTCCTTAAAGAACAATCATTTACTAATATGTCTTAGGGACCATTTACGAGAAATTAAACTAACAGAATACCAAGAAATCTACAAAACTATAGCTAGGTACATTAAAACAATATTTTGAATTGATCTCGACCAAAATCGATCCAAAAACTGATCCTGAAAAATCTCCTCGAACACTCTGCGGGTTGCAATTAATCACTAACCCGCCTCTCATACAGCGAATCACAACTCAGACACAGAGCGTGAAACGTCAAATCGCTTACTGTGAAGTTTCCATTATCTGACATTCAGTACAAGACCTGAATGACATCTAACGCACATACACTGTATTATCGTATTAACTGACTTCACATCAAATATAACCCGTTACTAAAACAAAACAATTATTAAAACGTTATTTTCGAATTTTAAGCCCAAAATTAGTAAAATAAATCAAAAGGTTGTCTATAAAATTGACTGCAAAAACTGTACATTGTACAAACAAAACAATATCTACATAAAATAAAAAACCATAAAAATAATATCGCAACTAATAATGAAAATTACACTGCCTTAACTAAACATGCGTTAGAAAATTTGCACTCTTTCGATTTTGAAAACGTAAGAATTCTCGAAAATAAACCAAATCTCAACAAAAGAACAGCCCATGAGATGATACATATTAAAAAAATAACAACTCTATAAATAATAAAACGGACATAAAAGATTTGTCAAACGTTTATTTTAATATTATTAAGTTTTCTAATCCTTAACTGTAACGCCACTGGTAAGTTTTAACTTTGTAAAAACTCATCTTTTTGTTTCCATACTTTATCCTGTTAAACCAAATCATTATTTCGAATACACCTTCACACGCTGAACCAGAAAGATGGGGTTTCTGTTATTTAAAAAAAAAAAAAAATTGTAGGTAATCGTCCCCATGTTTTAATAAATTTTGACTGCACCCGAAGATGGAAAAGTTTTCCGAAACATATATGTAGTGCTGTGCTAAACAATAGAAATTAAAAACGACCGAATAAACCAAGGAAATTTTTATTTATATAAAACAAAGAGAAGTCTTTGAAGTAACAATAATAAAAACGATTAATTAATCGAAGTAAGAAGCAAACATAATCGTTGAAATTGACTCTTTAATTATTAATGCACTCGAGGCAAGATAATAAACATATAAGCGAAATCGTAATGATACAATGATTTTTTTAGGTGAATTTACAAAATTGGAAAAGCTAACCAGTTTGGGCCAAAAATTACAGCAATCCGGGCAGAATAACTAGTTAATCATTGTACAACTTAGGTACTACAAATAAAGTTCTATACTCCTGTCTATTGATAAGAAAAATTAAATGATAAATGCAAGAATCAGTCTTCAAAAGCTTATATCAGCAACCTGGCATGCTTAACCTTTTTGTGTTCACTAGACAGAAGGTAAGTTGAATTTAAAATCTAGTATTTCGTACTGCCAGGTTACACACAGTATTTATTTTTCCTACGACCACTTAGGACACATATCACACTATATAACCCTATGGAAAGTGCCCCACATCACACGCGTATGAATAAGAATTTACTTTCCACCCGTGTGCGAATATGCTACTTTTCGCATCAGCTGTCACAAAATGTCAAACGCATCATTTCTATTTTGATCTATGTAATGTCCATATTAATACTAAAATCAATATGATTGTTAAATTATTAAAATTGACCATTAACTTAGATCCTAGATATTTATTTTTAACAATTATTAAAATAATTTGAAATAACTACATACATCTCATTATTTTGGATTTTTATTCTGTTTAAACTTAAAATCGAATTAAAAATGCATTTGACATAAGACCCATTAGCTCAGGTTGTAGGGTAGTTGCAATTTGAACTTTGGCTTACACGACGGGTTTTTTTTTTTTTTTGTTTTTTTTTATTTTTGTTTCGAAAAATATGAAAATTGAATAAATACAATTATTGTTGATTATTTTTTTAAATACATTTTAATTATTATAATAATAACCTGGTTTTACATTTTTTGATGAAATTATTTTGTGGTCATAGGAAAAATATTGTACATCACTTGTGTGAAAAGTGATTTTCCACGCTCGTTTGATAGTCGCACTCGGCTTTTGCCTCGTGGGACAATATTTCCCACTCGTGTGAAAAGTGTCACTTTCCACACTCGTAATGTAATATAGTATTCTACACTTATTGCAACAAATAATTAGTAATGCAAAATAATCTCATTTTAGAAAAGCTAGAAATACATCCCAACGATAAAATTTTGATAATAAAATCAAAATTAATTTCGAAGTGATCGGATCATATGATTCCCCTTGTTTGTTAGTATGTAGTAAGGCGGTCCTCGTCTTTGTTTGATACACATGTCTCTATTATACCTTGTCTAATTCATTGTAAAACTTTCCGTATCTGTATATTTAAATTTAAGAATGTACTAATCCTCTTTGATTATTGATATTCCTGTAATTTTATGAACGATTTGAATTATGCAAAAATTTCTATTTCTATTTTTCAGTTCAATGAAGATTTAGAAAAGCATTTATGAACTACTTACAAATTAATTTATGTAGGTAGTTAAGAACTCTCAACATTTGATGCTTGTTTTCAAATTACTTTGAGTTAAAGTAAATATTCTTTTTTACTAACTGTTAATGAATATCCACATAATATATGTAAATATTTATTACTAAAACAAGGTTAGTATAACTATTCAGTTTTATCACTTCATGTTGATGTTCAAGTGATATCAAATATACTTCAAAATATCGTTTTGATGCAATTAATTTATGGATATACGAGGATCGATTGGAAAATTTCTAAAACGAGACGAAAAATAAAACTTTTTTGGAAACATTTTATTAATTTTTCTACATAGTCTCCTTTCATATTTACATTTAGTCCAATGCTTTTCAAGACATTCCCTATTGTAAACCTTTTACAACTTCAATGACCTTAGTATTCAACGAGAATTTCTTTTCAGTCAACCATTTCTTAAGAGCGATATCCATGCGACACCTAACAGCAAATTCAGGTTTAGAACACACTGACAACTTTCAGTGCATCTGAACGCACTTTGGCAACGTTGCTCTAACTATTCCCAGACTTACGCTCCCTTCAATTTATTACTTATAAACTATAGATGATTTAAAATATAAAAAAGGCCGATAAATCGCAGGTCCGGTCTAACAAAGAGTATTTCTGTTTTGTTTTTCGAAACTCTTTTTTCTAACTAATAATTTAATAATTAATAATTTATTTACGAAATATATTTTTAAATATACATATGTATTTCTTATGATTATTTCGAAAACATATCTAAAAAGTACCTATTTCTACATTTTCTTATATACAGGGTGTTTGTTGGTAAGTGTGAATGATTTTAGGGAATGTTTGCAGAAGTTATTATA